ACACGGGAGACTTGAGTGTAGTCTTGGATGGCCTTAAACATGACGGCGCGGATCGAGACGCGCATCATGTCTTCGACTTCGGTCATCCAGTGCTCGACGTTCTTGCCGTTGGGGTTGACGGGCGTCGCCATCGCGACGGTCTCGCCTTCGGCCGAGATCATGGACGTGATCGTGAGGTCTTCTTGGAACTCAACCTTGACGACGCCTTCAAAGCACTTTTTCAAATGCGGCTGCACAAGCTTGACATCTTTCGACTCGGACAGAATCGACAAGAGCTCTTCGTTCGAAAGAAAGTAGAAACGCGAGAACGCGGACCGCTTTGTCTCGAGAAAGTCGCTCAGGCCTTTCTGAACTTGTTCAAGGAACTTGTTGCTTTCCTGGAACCGGTCGAGGAGTTTGTCGTTGTTGCAAAAGTTGATGACGCTCGGTTTGGCTTTGGCGGCCGCCAGCGTTTGGCGCCAGTTCTTGTCGACGGTCGCGAACCGCTTGCCTTCCATCGGGAGCTGCTTGTTGATGTCAGGGCTGTCAAAGATCGGCTGCAGGTAGAGCCACGCGCGCTGCACCGCCATCCACTCTTCGAGCACGTCCGAGACCGTGCTGAGGCACTTTTCCCACTTGTTGATGCGGTCTTCAAACGGCTTTTTGAACGCAGAAAACTGCATCGCTTGCGTTGTCGTGATTTGCTCGTCGAGAATCGCTTGGACTTCGTCGACGGCTTTAAGTACAAACGTGCCCGTCTCGCGGTAGTCGACGATCGACAAGCTCACTTGCTTCCACTGCTCTTCCATGGCGTTGAGCGCCTTCTCGATCTGGTACTCCTTCCCGGCCGTCTCGCAGATCTTGGTGATCGCTTCAATGTGCTTGTCGAGCCCGAGCCCGAGGACGTAGCTCAGCTTCATGCCGCGGTCGGGACGAAAGCTCATGTGCGTCTCGCCATTCATGAGATTCCAATGCCTGTCTTGGATGCCCGGGTTGCGCAGCGCCATGACCAGCGGGACGTGCGGCCGGAACGATGCAATCTCGCTCCGAATGTGGCTCGCAATGTCCAAGCAGCCTTTGATGTTGGCCTTTTCAAAGAATTTGGTCGCTTTGATAATGTTGGCCCAGTTGGTCTCGACGAACTGCTCAAACTCCTCGCCGTTGATGTCGAGAAACGCGCCTTCCATCCACTTTTTGTGGTCCTTGAGCCAGTTGTTGGCCGTCTTCCAGAGCGTCGCGTACGGCTCAAAGTCGCGCCGGATGCGGCTAATCTCTTCATAGTCGGTCATCTCTTGGCCAAAAGTCCTTCGCGCGAGTTGAAGAGCCGCGCGTCTTCGTCGGCCTTGGCGATCTTTTGCTCGATATTGACCACGTATCTATGGAAGCGATGAGATGGCAGACAATAGCACATGCAATAACGCACTTGAAGACTTGCTCGACGCGTGCAAGGTCCGTGTACTGCTTGAAGCCGTCGACTTCTTGGTGTAGAATCCGCAACGACTCTGTAAACTCAACCTGTTGGTCCCGCATCTCGCCGAGAAACTGCTGGTTTTGCATGGTGAGGATGTTGTTCATCTTGTGCACTTGGTCGTAAATGTGGTTGGGTCCGAGCCGGACGCGCCAGATCGCCATGAAATCGTCCTTCTCCATACGGTACTGAAACGAGTCGAGGAGCTACATCGCACATTCTTCTCGTCGATGTCTAGTTCCATCCATAGACATACCGCGCGGTACTTGATGAGCTGTTGGGACGATGCAAGCAAGGGCGCGAGCTGTGCACTGATGCTGTCGATATACTGCTTCATCTCGGTGAGCTGCTCAATGTCGGTCGGGATCTTTTGTAGCTGGCGGTTGATGGGCTCAAACTTGCCGTGGAGATCCTTGGCCAGCGTCGTGCATTTCACGAGCTGGCAGTCGAGAAGCTTCTTAGCGAGGCGTCGGTGCTTCTCGGCCAGCTGCGCGCGCATCGCAGCGCAGCTCACCGTGTACATGCCGAGCTCAATGTTCATGGCTGGAATCGCGTCCTCAATGTCGAGAGCGTCCTGCGCGTGTTGCTTGATGCGGTCGCTGAGCTCTTGCAAGTTGGGCGGGTCCTGCGCGCGGAAGATGTCCAAGTAGTGGTCCTCGTCGAGGTTCATAAAGGCAATGTAGCTACTCACATGCTTCTCATCGATCACGAGTGAAAACTATAGAATACCGGTCGTATTGCTTGAGGTACGCGCGCAGCGGCACTTCGCTCTTCTCGATGAGCTTGGCAACGTCGTCTCGCAGCGCTTGTACCCATGGCTCGTTGGCGTTGACGTATGGAATCGACGGATGACTGCTCCAGAAGAGTTTGTCCATCACCATTTGCTCGACCTGCATGATGCATGAATCCCACGCGACTACAAAATGGCATTGTGTACCTGCTTAATGTCCTTGCACGTATCGATCGACTTATTGAAGACGTCCAGAACAAGCTGCGAGAAGGCAGAAATCGGTGTGTTGTAGCCAAAGTTGTGGCCCATTTTAGCCGGGACGGGCTCAAACGGACACGGTTCGTCGTCCCGCTCTATTAACATAACACTGTCGCATCACATATACAATGCAGACGGACGAACTGTTGTCGTTATCGGGGTCTTCTTCGAGCTGCTTGGCGCGCTTGACCTCTTGCTCGTGCATCCACTCGTCAATTTTGGCTTGGGCCTCGTCGATCTCGTGCTGGTTGATCACAATCAGCTCGGGTGCGACGCTGAGCGTAAGCGCAAACAGTGCTGGAGGGTTCTGGAGCTGGCGCTGGCGGCAGAGAAACTCAAATTTTGCCGGCCCAATGTTTTCGGCAGCTAAATTTCATGCAAAATGAAGCATGATGTCGCATTCATGGAAAGGCGTGTACCTCGCCGCTTCTCGATGTCAGGGTACAAGAGGACGGTCGTTTTGGCGTCCACGACTTTGACGACGGCTTCAGCCGCTTTGGCCATGAAGGCACAGTACGAAGCAAGCGACTGCTCGGCCATGAAGCGCAGTGTATCCTACGGCGAGTATGAGATTTTAGATACGACGTACGTCGCCCACGACCTTCATGACGAGGTTGACGCGGTGCAAGAACGATCGAAGCTTGCTGAACTCGTACGTATCCCGGCGCGTCTCTTGGAGGTTGTACCAGCCTTTGCCCACGTGTGCGAGGGACGTCTTGATCGCGTGCGTGATCTTGTTGGGCCAGTCGTCGTGTAGCAGCTTGTACATGGCGCGTTCTTGCGTATTCTGGCGCTGTTGAAACTCCTACATCGCTAATGTGCACCTGCATCGCATTTGCATATCACCGTACTTCGAGTTTGAGGCTGCGGGTCGTCTTGAGGCTAAAGATATCGACGCACAGAAGGCGGTAGCACTCTTCGTTGACCTTGACGGCCGCCGCCAGCGTCTATAGTGGTGTTAAGATCGGTCGCATACTGTCCCGTACGACGTGCCTCGGGGGAGGTGAGGAACGTCTGGAAGGAAAAGCCGATAAACTGGTCAGCGTAGTCGATCGGCGGCGCAATCTCGCGGTGCTTGGTCGTATCGATTACGTGCGACTCGTCGGGCGGCGCGCAGAGGAAAAAGTTGGCGCCATTTCCGCTCGATTGCTGGTGCTCAAAGATGATGCGACACATGGTGCGGAGGTAGTCGGTGTGCACTTCGGCGACGATCTTGGTCGTGTCCGGCGGAACCGCGTTCTTGGCCTGGAAGACGCTGGTCGCGAGCTTGACAATCTTGTTGATATTCTCCGTGCCGAGCTTGTGCAGGTCGTCCGACGGCATGCAGTCGATGTAAATGTTCTTGCGGATCGCCGACTGCGCATACAGGCGCGCCAAGTGTGCGGCATGTACGCGGTTCACAAAGCCTTCAGGGTCCTCGGCCTAGCCAGCCACCATCGCTTATCCTCTGCCACCCCCGCGCGGTGTACCTTGAAGCAAATGTTGCACCGGTGCAATGGCATCTCGTCCTGGCCGAAACGGACCGTGAAGAGGTCGCGCTCGGCCGAGTATGCAATCACGTGGCCTTCGTTCCAGAGCCCGGGCAGGCCGGGGCGGCAATAGAGCGCGGTCACCGGGATCGCAACGGTCCCGTCCTTTTTCTTGCCGCATGCAATCCAGTCCTATACAGCGATGCTCGATAGGTCGGTGTGGGAGGGTCGCGCACCTCGGGTTCGCGCACTTCAAACGACTTGTCATCAAAGAGGTGCAAGGGGAGCGCCTCGATGAGCTGCATGGCGACACCGCTCGTGTCGTTGATGACATCCTGGTACTCGCGACTGCCAAAGAGCTGGGATAGCTTTTCCTCGACCATGTTGCCTACGTTGGCCGACTCGAATTGGCGGCGCTTCCTGGAGACCGAGATATGAGCTTCCACGAGCCAGAGGATCGTTTCGATACCGCTCAACTTCGACTTGGCGAGGAGGACGATCGGCCGTACGCTCATGTGGGAGAAATACCTTGGGCTCAATGTCGCCGCGCTGCTTGCGCACGATGGGCACAGTGGTGGGCATGGCCATGCTGAGGCCGACCGCGTACGCTGTGCAGCATATCATCATAGACGGCCCAGAAGGATGAGGTCATGTACCTGGTGGCATGTCGACCACCATGTGCGGACCCGTGATGTGCGTCGAGGATCGTAGCCGTATGCTCTCATCGGGCGTCGGGATCGGATCGACGAAGACGACGCCGCCAGCCTTTTCGTCCGCGGGCTTGGGCTTGACGGGGCTCGTCGACGGCGCCAAGGTCTTCCGACCGCGCTACATGCATGCGTCCATCGCACCTCGGCGCAAGCAGTGATGGCTCGTCGTCTACCTTGGTCGGGCTTGGCATGCTCGTCGGATCCTTGAAAGTCCCCGCGACTCTTCGCGCTTGTCGGGTTTCGTTCCGGATACGACACCGAGCGTATCCGGTTACCGAACTCAATTGACTGCGTGACAATATTTTTTTGATTTCTCGGTGTCTGATATGGGTCACAGCTTGAAGCAATCCGGCTTTTTTATAAATTGAGTTGCAATTGAGCGTATCCAGGGGCGGCAGAAGGCAAAAATAATGTGGCGGCTCCTTCCTCGAGCGACGGACGTGCGCAAGGCGCATGGCCGCTGGGCCTCGGCCGCATGGCGCGGCTACAGCGCTGGCACCGACAGCGGCGACGTCCAAGGCGCCGTCGGCGACACGCCATGGCGCGTGCAAAAGATGAGCTCGTCGGCGATCCGGTCGCAGGAAGAGACCCGGCGGGTGCTCATCTTGATCCGCACGTTCAAGCAGTATGGCCACTTTGTCGCGCACATTGACCCGCTCGAAAACAGTATACCACGTGTACTAGCAGGCAGCGAAGCGTTCACGTGGCGTAGGCGAGAAGATGCCGGAGCTGCAAAAGTGGAACTGGGGCAGTCGCTGGGTCGAGAAGCCGTACTTTGACGACTTCAACCTAAACTCGCTCGCGCACGGCAAGAACCTCGAGCTCACGGCGCATGGTACGCCGTCTCTTCCCGCTTCTCTGGGCTCGACGTCACCGTACTAGGCTTCTCGGAGGCCGACCTGGACCGCGACTTCTTCATTGGCGACGACCTCTCGATTGGCCCGGTCGCCACGCTCCGCAACGTACAGCGATTGACCAAGCGCGCACGTCTCACGCCTCTATGCAACAGATCGTGGACGAGCTCCGGGGCTTGTATTGTGGGCACATTGCCACCGAGTACCAGCACCTGCGCAACCGCGATGCTGCGCTTTGGATCCGACAGAGCCTCACCAAGTACAAGGTAAAACGTACTTATCCAATCCAGAAATGCTCCATTCGGTACACAATCGCAGGATTTTGAGTTTTCGCCGACGGAAAAGACGGCGATTTTCCAGCACATGCTCCGCGCCGAGCTCTTTGAGAAGTTTCTTGGTCGGCGGTACAGATTCTATGACACAATACTCGGTTTCGAGGAATGCATAGCTTCTCGGGCGCCAAGCGCTTCTCTATCGAAGGCGGCGAGAGCATCATCCCGGGGTTGAAGGAGCTCCTTGAGAGCGCCAGTGACGCCGGCGTCGACTCTGTGCACATGGGGATGGCCCACCGCGGTAGACCGACCATCTTTTGAGCATTCGATTTTCCATGGAGCAATGTAGGACGCCTCAACGTGCTGGCCAATGTCTTGCAGCGTCCCCTGCACGCGATCATGTCGCAGTTCCAGCCGTACTTGCCGGACGAGCCAGAGTATCCCAACAACTCGGACGACGTTCGGTACCACTTGGGCACGGTCTCGCACCTCACGATGCGCAACGGCAAGACCATGGAGGTATGGGCTCCCACATGTCATTTTTCGACCCAGCTATATGCGTGTAGGTGAAATTGGCCGCGAACCCGTCGCATCTGGAAGCGGTAATCATGCATGGAGTGCACGTCCTGCGATCTTCATCCTGAGAGGACGTAGGTCAACTCGGTCGTGCTGGGCGAGACGCGGGCGTGCCAGGATCAGCTACAAGATATGACTGGATCGCGCGTGATGCCGTTGCTGCTGCACGGCGACGCCTCCATGTTCCAGGGCTCGGTTCGGTACGCCACCACGCCCCTTGTTGTTCGTACTTGGTGAGCATCTACGACTTGCGTAGCGAGGCCTTTGGCTTTAGTGCGCTCGAAGACTTCAAGACCGGTGGCACCGTCCACGTCATTATCAACAACCAGATCGGGTTTACGACACTGCCCAAACAAGCCGACTCGGCGGTTTACTGCAGGTAATCCTGCCATCGACATTCCTCGTGCTAACAAAAATGTGGAGTGATGTCGCCAAAATCTCGCGCAGTCCCATCTTTCATGTCAATGGCGACGACCCGGAAGCCGTCGTCAAGGTGATGAAAATGGCGGTCGAGTACCGGCAAAAGTTTAAGTGCGACGTCGTCGTCGATCTCGTGTGCTACCGTCGCCATGGCCACAACGAGCAGGTGCACACCTTCTATACAACCACATGTTGGTGATGTCGATAGGACTCGCCCGAGATCACGGCCCCCGTCATGTACCATCGCATCAACCAGCACCCGACCGTGATCAACCTCTACTACAAGCAACTTGTCAAGGACGGCCACTTGACGCACTCCGAGAAGGCGGTATTGGCCAACGCGATCGAGGTCGAGCTCGCGGCGGAGCTCGAGCACTCGAAATCGTGTCCTTCGCCGTGGGACAACATGGGCGACGGCCACTCGCGCCGTGTCGACGACCCCAACGACGCGCTCCGAGCCGGCATAGTCGACACGGGCGTCGACCGCAAGCTCCTCGAAGAGATTGGTGCTCAGATTTTCCGTCTGCCCCCGGGCTTTACCGCCCACAAAAAGGTGCCAATGCGTTCGACTGGAACGTCCATCATGTGTGCGTTATAGGTGGAAGCCATTATGAACAACCGTCTGCGGGCGGTAGAGACAGGTGCCCGCGTCGACTGGGCGACGGCAGAAGCTTTGGCGTTCGGCTCGCTTCTCGCCGAAGGAGTCGACGTGCGTCTTAGCGGCCAAGATTGCGAACGCGGCACGTTCAACCAGGTACAATCTCGTAACTCTTTCTCAGAAGCTCTTACAAGTCGAGATGTTAAAAGCGCCACGCCGTCTTGTACGACCAGTTTGAAGCTCTCTCGATGCGAAATGTGACCTACACGCCACTCAACGGTAGGCTGTCGTTCTTCGTCTCGAGACACTGAGAAATGAGATAGAGCTCTCGGTGGATGTCTTGGCGGCCAAGGTGACCACGTTCACGCCGCCCGACGGCGTGACGCCCGCATTCAAGTGTGCAACAGTCCGCTCAGCGAAGAAGGTGTGCTTGGCTTCGAGTATGGCTACAGTCTCCAGAGGTACGACTGCCGTTTTGTATCAAGATAGTATCAATTGAACTAGTCCGGCGTCACTAACCATCTGGGAAGCGCAGTTTGGGGACTTTGCCAATGGCGCACAAACCATCATCGATACGTTTCTCGTTTGCGGCGAGCAAAAGTGGCATCGACGCTCGGGCCTGGTTCTGAACCTGCCCCATGGCTACGAAGGGCAAGGCCCCGAGCACAGCAGTGCCCGCGTCGAGCGGTTTCTCCAGCAAGCCAACGAAGACCCGGACGTGTTCCAGCCCGACGCGAACGACGTGGGTGCCAACATCCACGTGGCCATGCCGACGACCCCCGCGCAGTATTTTCACGCGCTTCGCCGCCAAGTCCGCGCTCCGTACGCACCATCTTTCATTCGTTCTACGGATGTCACCGCATGGACCTAGGTACCGCAAACCGCTCATCATGTTTACACCCAAATCGCTGCTGCACCACCGGCCGTGCACGTCCGACTTGAACAACTTTGACCAAGGCGCGAGCTTCCAGCGCGTGCTCGGACCCCACGCCGACGACCTGCGCCGCATGGACGAGGACACCAAGGTGCTCTGGAAGACTCTTCAGCCCATGTACGACAACACCCCTTAGATTCGGCGCCTCGTGCTCTGCAGCGGCAAGATCTACTATCCCCTTGTCCAAGCGATGCGCGCGCGCAACATCACCAACATTGCCACGGCGCGCGTCGAGCAGCTCGTGCCGTTCCCGTTTGCGGACCTGGCGCACCACGTGCAGCAGTACCCAAACGCCCAAGTCGTTTGGGTCCAGGTAAACACGAAGAAGACAAAGAAACCTTGTACCCAAGAGTGCATGTCGTAGGAAGAGCCCAAGAACATGGGAGCGTGGACGTATTGCCAGCCGCGCGTCACGACCGTCATGCGGCACCTCGGCGATGTATAAGCTTCATTAGCTCGCGTGGGATACTTTACTCATGGTGCTCTATGTGTAGAAGCGCAGCGTGTCGTACATTGGTCGACCCCCAACGGCGTCGCCGGCCACGGGCCAGTACGAGATTCATTTGCAGGAAATGCGTGGCATCATCGAGGATGCGCTCGCGCCATAGTCACTTAAGCGTACAGTGTATGGTACAGTGCCTCTTGCTTCTCCCGCGCGCCCAAGTAGGCTGCGTGGGCGTGGCGGGATGGGTCCGCCGACAGCAACGTCGACGAGAGCGGTTGGAGCTCGTCGAGAGAGCTGGAAAGGCCCATATAGCAGCCCACCGCCATGGCCACGCCCCGAGATGTCGTCTCGACCGCATCGGTCTCGAGTACGACCTTGCGTCCAATCGCATCCGCTACAATCACATCGTTAGCACCGACAGGGCAGCTCGTCGTCGCACCGATCATTTGGCGCCAGAGACGCGACGACGTGAGGGCCGTGCCGCTGGCAACAATGACCGCGTCCGACGTCGCTTGGGGTGCTACGTCAAGTGAGCGATCGTGGTAGATAGGCGGTGGAGGCTACCGAGCAGCGCGTAGATAGCGGCCAAGCGCAGCGCCACCGACTCGAGCGACGCGCGGAGGATGTCGATAGCGGTCGTCGCAGCCGTTATGCCGCTGATCGTGCACGCGGCCTTGGCGTGCCAGCCTGGAGCGCGCTCACCTACCCTCATTGCTTCATCCAGTTCGTCACGATCACTTTGTACCATGCAAGAACGGAAGCAATGTGAGCCCATGGGCACCCGGGGCCATGGCTTCGAGTGCGGCCGCGGCATCTAAGGATATGTCTTTCCCAACCAAAGACGAGATAGATCGATGTGCGTCGTACTACTGGGAAGCGCAAGCGTCTTCTTGGCCCATGCGTAAAGGGACCCGCCGTCCGTGAGCGCGCCGCCGAGCAGGACGTGCGTGGCATTGACACGGTAGCACCAGAGCCCTCGGGGTACCTTGCCGAGGCTCGCGAGGGGCACGAGCACCCGCATCGCCGCGCTCGTACCAATCGTGAGGCAAATGCGACTAAGTCCATCGTTCAACAACCCTTGGATCGCAGGACTACTGTACCTGGGGTCCGTGCACTTGGCGCCAACGTTGGCAACGGCGCCGTCTCCAAACGCGAGGTAAAAGGTGGCGTCGCGCAGCAGCGGCCACCGGCGTGCGTACGTGAGGTTGAGATGCGCATCGACGGGGATCGACGGGTCCTATAGTGCAGATACCATGGGCGCGTACGTCATCAACGAGCGGAAACCTGCGTCGGTGGCATGGACGACGCGGGTGTGTGCGTCATCGCGACGAGCTTCTCGTGCCACGTCGCACTCCGAAAGTCCAGAAGACCCGTCCACGACGCCTCCGAGTAGCTCATGGGAATGGCATGCGAAGCGGTGGTCCATGCGCGAAGGAGGACGCCGACCATCGACTGCCATGCGTAGACAGGCGACGTCGCACGATGATGGCGATTGTGCCGGAGCAGCGTCGGGGCGGCGTACGCGGGGTGCATCGGCGCGCCCGTGTGGTTGTACACCTACGCCTGTCAGCCAGCCATAAGAATGCGCGAGTCGTACCTCGGCCTGGAGACCCGCCTTGGCGAGCGCGTCGCGAAGCTCGGTCGCCTCGTCTGCGCACTGCCCCGCGTACGTGTAGACGGGCGTGACGGGGGCGCCGGCTGCGTCCACGCCCACGAGCGACATGCCAAACGCGGAAAAGCCGACGGCCTTGACTGCATACGCGCGCTGCTTGGTCAACCAGCCGATCGTACCGTCGAGAACACGCTCCTAGAATGGTTGACGGGCGAGCTCGTCGGGATGCTTGAGAGAAAGGACGAACCACCGCGGCCTGGATGCTGCCCATATCGGCGGTGCCATCGGCGGCAATCGCAGCCCGAGCCTCCTGGCAGAGCGAGCCGTCGACGGCGATCCATGCGCCGCGAACGCACACGTAGGCGCTTGCGCGGACGGACGAGCTGCCAATGTCGACGACGACGATGGCCGCGTCCTTGGCCCGCGCCTCGTCCTCGCGAAGGGCGGCAGCGCGCTGCTCGTAGGCCCAGGCGACGGCAGCACCAAGCAGCGCGGTCATCGCTGTGGTCGCTACCCAGACGCGCACCATATCTCGATCTTGCCTGTTCGTAGGCGATATTCCGCAATCGCGTTAAAGAGTACCCGCGAAGAGTATAACGCAATGAACGCACGCCTCCTGGACCAAAACACAAGACGTAAAATAGAAAAACGCATTTACACTTGCTGGTAGACGCCGCCATGGGGCGTGGTCGGGTCCATCGACGCCGCGTGCTTGGGCGGCGGCGCGACGCGGCCATCGGTTCGGTTCGTCACGTTGTAGTGCGTCTGCCACTCGGCCGGCAGCGCCTCTTGGTAGTTGTCGCGGGACGCGCGCGCGCCGCAGCCGAACCGCCGAAACATGCGCAGGATCACAAACACGACGCAGCCCGTAAAGCGCACGACGTTGAAGAAGCCGACAATGTAGCTGAGGCCCTTGAGGTAGCACCCGCTCGACATGTAGTCCGTGACGACGTACAGCCAAATGCCGTTGGTCGTGAGCCACGAGAGCAGCAACGTCGACCGGAACGCGCGGAAGCTGTTGTCGACATCTTCCTTCTCTCTGGCGGCGGCTTGCCGCGCGGCCTCTATCTTCTTTTGCTGCTCGACGACGTCCTTGACGTTGCCGCCGCCGGCCTTGGCGGGCCCGTGGCCGCCGCCCGACTCGAGGCCTTTCGTGCCCCAGCTCAGATCATGAAGGTTGCTGTACGCATAGATGCCCAGCACGTTCTAGAGAGCACACGCCGCATGAGCCGTCTCGCCTCAAAATGATCATGAGTACGTACGACAAACGTCGGGAGCATGAAGAAATACTGCACAAAGCTGAGGAGGATGCCAAACTCGCCGTGGACGAAGGCCGAGAGGAAGATGAGCCCGAGCGACGTGATGACGCCGCCCGCGAGCTCGGCGTCGCTGACCGTGCAGTTGGAGAAGATCCCGGTGATCGTGCGCGGGTCCTTGACGGCGCTCGTACCCTTGCCAATCAAGCCGTAGATGGAAATGCCCGTCACGAGCAGCATGATGATGCCCATGTAGAGGCAGCTAAAGAGGTAAAAGCTGGCCGTGCGCGGCTCGGGCTTGTTGCCAAGGGCAAAGACGATGAGGCCGCCAATGATCGCGAGGTAGACGGTCAGCATCGTCTGGAGCAGCGCCGGCGCCGACTCGGTAAAGGCCAGCGTCAAGACAAAGTAAAACGTCAGAAAGAGGTTGCTCAACAGAAACCACGAGAGGAGGTTCTGGAGCGCGAGGTAGACAAACTGGAACGTAAACACGAGCTTGCGACCAAACGAGTGGCTGCTTTGGCTCCAGACGCGGCCAAAGTGCCCGATCGCAAAGAGGCCCGCGAAGAACGACCCGTTGAGCCAGCGCCGGCGCTGCTTGATGAGGTCGACGAGCGTTTCGGGCACGTCCGTGCGCGCAATCGCGTCCTTGACGTAGTGCATGGTCCAGCGCCGCTGCTTGCGCGCGAGGAGCTCAAAGCACAAGATGCGGTCTTCGGCCAAGTACATGTTGCCTTGGAACGGCCCGAGCTCCTTGGTCGTCGACGTGAGGCTTTTAAAGTACTCGGGCAGCGGCCCGACGCCCTTGACGGCCCGAATCGCTTCGTACCGGTACGCTGAGAACGCACCGGGCAGCACCGAGATAAAGCCAAACACCGACTCGAGCGACTTGTCCATAATGTTGGAGATCTTGTACTCGAAATGCTGGGCGGCAATCACAGGGTTGAAGAAATTCGGGGCTTCAACTGCAATCTCGCCAGCGACACCGCCAATCTGCGCGTTGCGCTCCATGCTCCGGATCAAGCGAAAGACCGAGGTCTCGGCGGGAATCGTCCCGACGTCGACGAGCACCGTGTACTTTGGGTTGAGCTGCTCCGAGAACGCGTTGAAGAACCAGAGATGCGAGTTGAGCTTCCCGCCATTGTTCTCCTTGAGCGCGTAAATCACTTGCAGCGGTGGGTAATAGGCCTCAAAGTTCTGGTTCTCGACCAGCTGGAGCGTCGACTCGAAGAGATGCATCTGGACGTCGACACCGAGCGACGTGACCGTCATGATCTCTTCGTCAAACGCGCCGACGGCCTTGAGGTACTCGAGACACGTCTTGGACGCTTTCGTCCGGCCGTCCGAGACGATGGCCACCGCGACTTGCTGCCAAAAGTCGTCGCCGTACTCCTTGCACATGTACGCGAGACCTTTGGCAAGGCCCGTGAGCGTGCCCTTGATCTCCGAGCCTTCTTCGTTGTACATGGTGATCGTGATAAAGACCTTGATGGGTCGTTGCAGCTCGTGCACGCGGAGCACGTAGCCGTCGTCCGAGAACTGGATCGGGTCCTTGGTCGCCACCGCCGTGTACCGCATCAATTTGAATTCGTTGGCGTCATGGAAGGGCGGCGGTCGGCCGGCCCACGTCTGCTCGACGGTCGGCACGTTGGTGCGCGCGATGCGGAGGCTCGGCGGCAAAGCGGCCTTGCGCGCCTCCTCGGCGACGCCGTTCATCCACGCCTCGAGGTCTTCGGCACGCTGGAGGAGCTCTTGGGCCTTTTGGCGGATGCCCTTTTGCAAAAGCGGGTCGACTTCTTTGCGCCCGACCTCGACAAGCGTCGCGCCGGCGTCTGCGTACAAGTTGATCGCGGCTTGCGGATCGCCATCCTGCTCCATCTGCACGGCGAGCTGCACGAGCCGGAACGCGCCTTCGTACGTCGGCGAGCCATCGAGGAGCTCCTCGACAGTGTTGGGCAGCGGCCGAAACGCGGCTGTGTGCTGACGCCGAAACGCCTTGTTGGAGGCTTGGCGCTGCACGAGGTCATTGGCCTTGTTCAGGAGCGTCTGGGCCTGCGGCGCCGGCTCGTCGTCCAAGTAGCCGTACGTCTTCTCCTTCGAGTCCTTCCACACAGGCACCTGCGTGTACACGCCGTCCGCCTCGGCGCCCACGGGGCTACCAGTCGTATACGTCCCGCCAAACTCGAGCGACTCTTGCGTGTACAGCGGCGTGGGCCGGGTCCGCGATGGTGGCGAATGCATGTAGGGCGTCGGTGCCGGCGCAGGGGCGGGCTCGGCGCCGCCCTCGCGCAGCGCCCGGAGGCGGGCGGCGAGGTCGAGGTTGCTGTCGCTCATGCCACGGCTTGACAAATGCGAATCCGCATAAGCGAGCTCCAATCTGCGACATGCTTGGGTGTTTGACTGCCGATGTTTCGATTTTCGCTATTAAAATATGATATTTTTTAAAAATATTTCCATCAGTATTTTATTATGACGACGCATTAGAGTTATTATTATCGTGGCAACGCCAACGCCACGACTGTCGTTAGCAAGGCTGTCCACCGGTATTTTAAATCATTTTGTTTTAAATCAAGAAAGCACGTTGGGTATCCGGATGCCTGTACCCAATATTGGATTTGTCGAGAAACGACATTGGAAATCAAAGTGAGTTTGACCGGAACGAATCCCAAATTTGCGCCAAAAGTCCCGTTCAAGCGACTGGGCAAGTAGAGTCGAGTGGGAGGATGGTGTAGGTGTCCCTTTGATCAACGTCGCGTCCTTAATGCTAAAGGTCGCTGTAAAAAGGCAAGCGGCCCGTGTGGACAGCACGCGTTACTGCCGTGTGTCTGCGGATGTAAAAAGGAGGATATTTCTTGAACTTGCCGTTTTCGCGTGCGTGTCCATGAAGGACCAGACAAGATGCACCACGAATCCAGTCCAAAGACATACCGGACATAAGCCGGCAAGGGCACAAGGGTCAATAAAACGCATTTTGATTCATCCGTGATGCCGGCATGACCGACTTCGGCTTCGGAGTTTCACGTCCTTTGCGGTCCCTGCCTCCCCCGTACCAGACGAGGCTCTTCTGCGCAATTCGAGCGCCATCACCTTGAGATGCCGTCACATGAAAGAAAGGATGCGCAACGACAAAACTATCGGTACCGGTGTATAGGTGCTTGTAGCCCAATCTACCGCCTTGATGTTGCAGTTTGAGTCCATGCCTATCTCTACCGAGACAAAGGCGAGGGTGGTCTCTCTAGTTTTGCCCAGCAAATTAGAGTGCTTGTAATCGGACTCGTTCCAACTGCAGAGCATTTGACAGGCACGGGATGTGGCGTTTGGTGTGGCCCTGGTGACAGGTATGTCGTGACGTCGTGATTATCTGCCAGTGGCGGCAAGCGGCGTCTCCCGCAACATCAAGCACACATCAGCGTCAAGTCAGCAAGCCAGTCCAAAATGCAATTTAATTGGCCAAATAGAACCCCCATTTTTGGCCAATCAAATGCGACTAAAGACGAGCTACGGCGCTGGTGATGGACTCGAGGCGCCTTGGATGCGGGATTGGAAGTTTTTAAAAGAGTTGGTCATATTTAGCACATGGATAGAGGACACTTTGGTGAGCATAAAACACTGCATGGGGCTGACGTTGGGACACAGAGCCCGAGAAATCGATCCCGAAAGATTTCAGATGACGAGTTTTTGACTGCCGGTAGCTCGTGTATTACAATGAATGTGGATGAAGAGATCACCTACTCGCATGGTGTACTGATGAATAGACAACGCACAGCAATGAGATGTATTCTGCGACCCTACAACTGCTTTACTACCCGAGCCATCGGTAGTCAAAAACTCGTCCTCTGGAATTTCTCGGGATCGATTTCTCGGGCTCTCTGTCCCAAACGTCAGCCCCACGCAGTGTTTTATACTCGCCAAAGTGTCCTCTATCCATGTGCTAAATATGACCAACTCTTTTTAAAACTTCCAATCCCGCATCCAGGGCGCCTCGAGTCCACCACCAGCGCCGCAGCTCGCCTTTAGTCACATTTGATTGGCCAAAAACAGCGTTTTATTGGGCCAATTAAATTCCGTTAAAACACCCACAAAAGGCGGGCCTACACATGTACCATCAGCAACAATCTGAGCGACAATGGTATTGGTAGCGACCCCAAGGTCGCGCAAATGTTCTTCTGGCTTGGAACAACCAAATATCAAAGTTGAGCGAACTCACCACAGCAGGCTAAACTGGCAAAGAACGTCCCGACCGACTGGAGTCAGGTCCAGGTTTACATCAAATATTGTCAGCGTCGGCAACGACGGTTTGAGGGCACACAGGCCGAAGCAAACGCCTGAAGCTCAGAGCATCTCCATCCGACTTCCTATTCCCTATTTCGAGGATCGCTCGAAATCGCATCCGGATAAAATAGGAAAAACAACTCCACCCGACCTGCCATGACGGCGCTATTATCTGCCAGTGGCGACAAGCGGCGCCTTCCACATCATCAGGCACACACACATCGAGTCCGCAAGCCAGCCCAAATTTAAATTTGATTGGCTAAATAGAACACTTTTCTGGCCAATCAAATGCGACGAAAAGCGAGCTATGGCCCAGTTTTGCATCAAATAATGTCAGCGTCGTCAATGACGGTTTGCATGACACATAGACCCAAGTAAAAGTCGAAGGCTCAAGCAAGACCCGCCATTACCACGATGTATTTACCAAGAGCCGCATGCCCCATAAATATACCCAAGCTATATCCTAGTCTAATGCGGTGAAATAGTGTTTGTTTCGACTAGCCAAGTCGGACTTGCGACGTCAGGCGCACTAGTTTCTGGCAGCACGGTTGACGCAGTGTGTTTCGACGCCTGCGGCATTGAGCCGTTGCCACTGGCTACGACCATTCTAGGCAACGCTCTTACACCAGGATGACCACCTGGCTGTCCACGAGCCACGTTACCGGTAGTCCCTTTTCTATGCAGCCCGCCGAGCCTCGCGTGTGTGCTCTTGCAGCTGCATCTTGCACAGCCACGAGTGTAAGTTGTCACGGTTCTGGCTACTTGCGCGATAGTCTATTGACTGGCGATATGAGTTCATCAACTTGAGGGGCAATAGTCGATGGTGGAACGGTGTTGGCAGCTGGCAGTTGCTGCTGCACCGGCATACGATCGACAAGACGATGGACACTCGGATCTCGTCCGTGCTCCAACGCCGCTCCTGGTTCAAGATTGAGAGGCCGTAGATACTTGGTGATCGAGTGTATCGTCGGCGGTGAAGTAATGGCCGCTCGCGGGCCCACGGAACGCACGCAAGGTGTCCAGAGGCACTGCAAGTCCGATCCTGCTCGAATTACCGACCAGCTCATTGCTGTTGCCGCATTACTCATCGCGCCCACATACACATCATTGCCTCTACAGTAAGGAAGGGGCGACTTGAACTGTGTTGCCATGTTTGCGCGAGTGTGTGTACCGAGAGATGTGCAGTGGTGCTAGGTACCTGCACCTGTGCTAGGAAATAGTGCTAGGCCAGATTCAACGCCTATCGCTTGGGCAGCTGGCATGCGCGCTGACGAGATGTATTCAAGTGATGGTTGCGCCGTCACGAGGCAAGGATGTAGTTAGTCGAACGCCGACTAATTGAAATCCCAGTCGCGAGGCCAGTGCGACTGTCGTTATCCGGATGCCAAGATATTTTCAGGCGCCCAACGTATAGTGGTCGGTTGGGAGCCGGATACGCGCTCGCCGTGCAGGAGCGTGTCATCATTAGCTTCGCGAGCATGCACCGAGCTCGACCGCGACGAAGCATCAGCTTCGACGGCCATGACCGCAGCCGCTTCACCGACGCCCGCTTCGCGCCGGTCTTCAAGGAGCGCCGGCCGTCGGCGCGGCCCGAGGTCGACGAGGACGACGAGGACAACAACCAGCACTCGCACGAAGAGGCGTCCGAGCTGCACCTGCAGCAGACGTTCCTCAGCGACGCGCTCGTGGCACGCGATATGAAGCGCCAGCGGGTCATTGACGAGATCTGCGCCACGGAAGCGAGCTATGTCTCGAGCCTCAAGGTGCTCGTTTCGGCCTTTGTGACGCCAATGGAAGTCGCTGGCAACACGATGCTGGCCAACCCGACCGTCGCCGTACGTCCGCCGCTGGACTATCGATGCGACGTTACGATGCTAGGTGTTTTTCCAGAGCCTCAAGCAGATTTTGACCGTGAACGCGCAGCTGCTCACCGAGGTAAGCGGCCTTCCGTCGTCGGCGGACTCGATTGGCGCGCTCTTCTGCCGCTACGCGCCGCTCTTTCGGTGCTACGCCGACTATGCCAAGAACTTTGACGAAGTCGCGCAGCTGCTACATCCGCATCGGTCGCCCAAGTTTGCTGCGTTCGTGCAGGTACCGTGTTGCTTTCTCGTCCCCATCCTGCACCGTCGAGACGTGGCGTAGCTATGCCAGCTGCAGTGCGGGTCGATGCAAAACTTTGAGAGTCTTCTCATTACTCCTGTGCAGCGCGTGCCCCGGTACAAGTTGCTCCTCGAGGTATGCTACCCACATGGCCGACATCCTCGAACATTCCTATCTCCTCGTTTAGCGGATTGCGGGCTTGACGGGGGAGGGCCACCCTGACCATGCGTCGCTGCTTCAGGTGCATCGTTCGATTTGTCACATGGAATGCTGGTACGGAGACGTGAACGTAGGCAGTCGTGGCCGTCGGTGACGCTGCGCAGCTCATCAACGAGACCGTGCGGCAGAAGGAAATCATGGAGCATGTGCTGCGTGTCCAAGCCCAATTCGTCGGCCAGCTCTCACTCTTTACACTCGACCGACGTCTCCTCTGCGCCGGTGTCCTCGTCAAAGTACGTAGTACATCTGGATGCGCCGGCTCCACCAAACCTCAAAATCGCCCATGACATGCATCTTAGATCTCCACCAAGCGCGACGAAAAGGTCATGCTGCACCTCTTCAACGATCTGCTGCTCTACAGCGATATCTTGCCCGCCGAGACGTACCACTGCCGCCGCAGTGTCGCGCTCGCCTCCTCAGCATGTGGCATCGACGGCAGCCTCCCCGAGTCGTACCTCCCCTCTTCTCGGTGGACCGCCCGCACCTCCAGCGCGACTGTGGCTTCAAGGTCGTCGTTCCACTCGACCTATCCTATTCATGCGCCTTCCTGTAGATCAACAGCGCCGAAAAGTCCTTTGTACTCTTTGCGGCGTCCGTGGACGAGAAGAACCGCTGGGTGCAACTCATTGCCGACGCCATTGCCGGCGCCCAGGAGAAAGGCCGGGAAGCGGCCCTTGAAAATGCCGCCGCCGTGTGGATCCCGGACGATGCAGTCGAGTCGTGCTCGCTCTGCCAACGTCGGTTCGCCGTGAGCTTTCGGCGGCATCACTGCCGGTAAAACTACACCTTGTTGCCGATATTGCATATGTCCAATCGACTGTAGACGCTGTGGCAACGTTGTCTGCGGCAACTGCTCGACACACCGCGCCTACGTGATTGACAACGACCCAAAAGAGAAGCGCGTCTGCGACGGTTGCTTTCCTGTTCTCGCCGCGGTCAAGCGATGCGCCATGCGATGGCTCGCGTGTCTCATCGAGTTTCGGGGCGTCCTTCGGCGACTGCGCAAGCGGCGGGTACATGCCATATAGAAAGGATGATACATCGGTGCTCATGCTATCGATAGTGGGTCGACTGCTACTTTGAGCTCAAAGGCGGTGTCTTGAGGCAGTTCGCGCTCGCGGGCGCACCGACAATCGACGGGCCGCAGCGCCATGCGCCCACTGACGTCTTGCCCATGGCGGGTGCGATTCTCATCCGCAACGTCGACTCGTACGTTTTGCTGTACGGTGCATGCAAGATGCCATGGCGCCTCGTAGATATGGCATGGCCAACTGCTTCAAGATCACGTCCCGGGCCGAGCCGGACCGGCGCTTCAAAGCCTCCCCGCTGAAAGCGTACACGAAGAAGATGCGCAAGGCGCCGTTCGAGGACGACGAGTGGGTTCTCTGCGCCAGCTCGACGCAAGACTGGGCCAAGTGGATTGACGCCCTCGATGCGTCGGCCGCCAAGGCGCTCCAGCGGACGTCGTCGCGAGCTCGGTCCATGGACCTCATGTCGGGCTCGCTCCTCTCGTTGCGCGACACGCAGCGTATGGGCCATTTGATGTGTAGCCATAGTGGAAGGTTGACTTATATTGTCGTCTAGTCGATGAGCTCGAACTCGTGCGCATGGACAGCTCGCTCATCGACGACGCCAAGCAAGAGCGATATCGCCACCTCATTCTCCGAGAGATTGTGCGCTCGGTTCGTCCCCGTACGATACGATAGCTGTGATTGTATTGCTCTGTCGTAGGAGCAAAGCTACGTCGAGTGCCTTGGCGAGTGCATTCGCGTGTTTGTGCAGCCGCTCTTGCTTCGACAGCTCGAAGGTCGAAAGCTCGAGACTGCCAAACAGAGTCTCCAGCGCCGCCTCTCGCAGCTGTCGCACTCGAAGCTCCAGAGAACGTTTTCGCGCATGGGTCTCACAAAGCGGACGCAGCTGCGCAACGGCAGCTCGAGTCTCGCGCGTGGCGACTCCGTCAAGACGCACCTGGACGCAACCATGGCCGTCTTCTTTACGAGGTACTTGCACCATGGACACCTGGACAACAGTCATGCAAGTGTCTGTAGCATGGACCAGATCTTTACGCTCAACCAGCAGCTTCTTGACCACCTCGTGCGGCATTTGGCCGAGACGGACGAGGCGCCTGTTCACCGCATTGTACGACTGCATATATCGTGTTGGATGCGAGTTTTTCCTGGTAGGGTGCCATCTTTAACGCCTACGCGTCGCTCTTCCAGATGTACTCGTCGTACGCCAGTTACCACGAAGCCGCGCTGGCCGCCATCGAGGTATTCTTGCATGTTACACACACTGTTTCTGTGACGGCATGGGGGTGCTAGTCGGACCATTTTGTGTCGATGCTCGCGGGTATCCAGCTGCACTTGGACGATGGCACGCTCCATCGACTTCGCACGTACCTCAACATGCCCATGGAGCGCATCCCCAAGTACAAGGTGTTTTTGCAAGAGCTTTTGGCGTGCACGGACGCCAGTCACATGGACCACACTCCGCTCCTCTCGTCGATCGAAAAGGTCGACCACGTCGTGCAAGCGATCCAAGACAGCATTGCATCACGGGACGCAGCGCGCAAACTGCGCGAAGTCCAGCTGCAGTACGGCCTCACGCTCACCGACTCGACGTATATCAAAGGCGGTTTTCTGCGGAAAGTGTGCCGCGGCACCGTCAAGACGTACCACGTTGTGCTCCTCGACCACGGTACCTTTTGTCTCCATGCCTCATTTGCAACGAAATGGAATGCTTGGACTAGCGCTCTTGTACGCACCAACGGGGCTGCTGGCCACGTACCAGAAGAAGCACAAGACGATCGAGCTCACCGGCGCGTCAGTCTCGATGCTCCAAGATGCACTGCCCGAGAGTGTGCGCCAGGCCGTTGTCGTTGACGGTGCGCCGCCCGTGACGCACCGCAAGTACGATCCCAACTGCCGTTGGAAACACTGTTTCGAACCGTATCGATCTAGTGCTTTTTACTTTCGGTCCAACCAAAAGTCGTTTATGCTTATCGCCGACTCGGAAGATGCGCAAACGAGCTGGGTCGACGCCATCCACGTACACTTTGCGATCGATTTCAACACGTGGCAACGCGTGTCGTAGGACGCGATCGCCAAGGTCGAGATGACCTACCGGCTCTCCAACACGTCCGATGAAGACGACAAGTCGAGCCCGCACCCGATGGACGTCTTAATGCGCAAGCCAATCAAAACAGGCTGGCTCCAAGTGCAGCTGGGCAAGAAAAAATGGCGCAAGCAGTGGGTCACGGTCGACTACCAGCACTTTACGATCGGACCATCGCCGCAGACAAGCCCCGAGACGACGCTGCTCGTCGCATCGTGCGCCGCCGTCGGTGTCGCTGCCATTGCCACGCAATTTGAGATTCGTGGCGAGCCCGTGATCACGGTACCACTTCAGGTGGCGCGACAACCCTAACCACTGTGTTGTGCTAGAGCTTGACGGAGGCGGCGGCGACCTACACCTTTGTGCTCGACGCCGGCCTCGACCGTGACGAGTGGCTACGTGCGCTGACGCATTGCATTCGCAGCAGCGCCTACGAAGACGCCACCACGTGTCTCTCGGCCGTCTCGGAGCCGGCGCTGCATCATTTTGCGCCCGTGTTTCAGTTTCACAATACGTCCAAGGTACGTGGATCGGTCCTTGAGTATGTATGGTCAACACTAAGACTGGATTGACTTCTGTAGAAATGCATGCTCTGCGGCAGTAGTTTTACCCTCTACCGTCTCCGGCACCACTGCAAGTACGTTGATGGTTATTCTAGTCGTATTCCTTTACCACCTGTGGTGCACTAGAAACTGCGGCACGCTTGTCTGCGGCAGCTGCTCGAAGGCGCGGATGGTCCTCAGCCACGACTTGCATCGCGCCGTCCGCGTATGTGACCACTGCGTAGACGAACACACGTCCGACTTTTGAATGCAAGAAATCGATTGATGTTTATGTAGTATATGTCGTCGATGTCGTAGACATGCAGATTGAGTTAGTAGCTATAGTTGGGGGGACTGTACCCGAACGCGTTGACAGCCGTAACGCGTGCATAGAACGGCGTGCCTGCCTCGACGTCGGTCACTGTGTAGGCGCGAACGCTGTAGCGGTAGATGGGTAGCGCCTGCCCCGAGAACGCCGGACAGGCAAGAGCGGTGGTCACTGTCACCGTCGACGCCGTCACAGCCGCCACCGTGTACACACAGCTGTAGCTGCCGATGGTAAACACGTCATGGACAGCCAAGGATGCACGCAGATCCACGGTCACGCCGAGCGTCACACCACTGAGAGTCTGCGCGCAAGCTTGGCAGAACGGCTTGCGGGTCGTGCCGGGAGGCAAATTGAGTGCCAGCGCGGCTGCTTTGGCGCTCGCATCGGTCGTCGTGAGCTGCCCCTGCGGCCGCAAGTAGAGCGCATCGCACGCGTTGAGCGTCGGTGCAGCTCGACCGACGCCTTGAATCGGGTCCAAGCCAGGTCCAAAAAGCTTTTGCGAGACTGCTATTGTGCCCGCAAACGAGTCGCAGCCCGGGTTGCGCTGGGCCACGAGCGTTGGCACATCCCCGAGCGGCATTGACGAGAGCGCTGCGTAAAACGTAAACTCGTACATGTGGCCATAGTTCCACGCGGCTGACTTGTCGCCGTGGCGCGCGACTGTGACGCTTTCATAGCCGGGCAGCGCGTTGATTTGGGATTGCAGGTCGGCAGCAGTAATGCTCCAGCTGATGCACCCGACGACCGTGCTGCCAATGGCGAGGTGCAGCTGCAGTGTGGGCGCGAGAGACGGTGTCGCCGATAGCGTGAGGTACTGCACTTCGGCGTTGTCACCACACGAACTCCGGAACGTCGGCGTGTGGTCCCACTCGACAATGTAGTTGGAGACAGCGCTTCCGCCATAGCTCGTTGGTTCGTCCCAGTAGATGGCAAACGACGTGGCAGTTTGTCGAGCGATCGCAACGGTCGGCGGCGTCGACGGCGCCCGTGCCGATGGCGTCACGGCACCCAGTGCGGTAGCAAACGCCCCGTACCCGACGCTATTGTACGCGGCGACGCGCACCGTATACGATGTGGCGGACGACAGACCTGAGATCCAGAGCCAGTGCGGCGCGAGCCCTATGCGGTGCTGTGGCACGCCCTTAGTGACTTCGGCAACGGTGATGACAAGGCCACCAGTGACGGCCGTCGTTGCCAGCAGCGGCATGTCACCGAGCGACGAGTGAAATTGAAAGAGCACAATCCCCGGCGACGCGGCCGCACAAATGGTCGCCTGCCCCGTGGGGAAAAGCACCGAAACACTGCCAAAGGCCAGACCAACGAGCGCCATTTGCACGTCGCCGACCGTCGCCGTTGCGGCTATCGATGTCGACGACGTGCCCATGTACGTTAGCACGAACGAGCCGACGTTGCCCAAGCACGTGATCGACTGGACTTCTTGCAGGGACCCGATTGAGGCGGTCGCCGAGACACTTTGCGCACCGTTGATGACCGACTGGATGCAGTTGTCGCGCGCCAGGTCGGCACAAATGAGCAAATTGGAACCGGCGACCTCAAGACGCGAGCCGAGCTGCGTTTGTAGCAGCGACACCTGCTGCGTTGCTTGGTTGCCGGGGTACATGGTCTGGAAGAACGTGATCATCCACGAAAACCCCTACCCCTCACATGAGACAACGAGAGCGGCGAGCGGCGATACATACATTGGGTCCGAGCACGCGCGTGACGGCGACCGCGTCGATGGTACAGAGCGCTTCCAACGCGGCTTGGAGATCGACGGCGGCAACGTCAAAAGGCAGCTCGGGCGTGATTTGGCCGTCAAACGTCAAGTGAAACGTGCCACCGAGATACGTATAGGCGCCCACGGACGGCGCCGAGACGGACACGACTTGCACATCGTACTGACCGACCGTGTCCGTGGACTTCACGATCTGGTTAGCCTTGGCGCCACTGGGCGTGAACCATTCGACGTTGAACTCGGAAACGTTGACACCGCCGGAATGGATCGGAGCACTCCATTGGGCGAGGATCTCCGTGTCTGAGACGACGTCGACGCGCAAGTTCTGCACCAAGCCCGGCACCGAGTTGGCTGGTTGGAGCATCGACGGCGTCGGGATCGCAAATGCACCGCGCCCCGCCACGTTACGGGCAGCGACGCGGGCAAACACACCGAGGCCGTTGTTGAGGACGGGAAACGTCACGCGAGCGACGGGGGTCACGACGACGACCGGATCCAAAACAGCTCGCAGATTCATGGGGTTGGCGACAATGGCAAAGAGCGAGGACGGCGTGTCCCGGGTAAAAGTGACAAGCCAGTCGTAGCCGTTCTGCGCAATTTCTCGGGTGACGTCGACCTTGCAGGCGAGAGAAAGCGCTTCGATCGCACTTTTCACGTCCGTCGCGGACGCCGACACGGGGATAGCAGCCGACGTTTGGAGACGGTACAAGTTGACGTGCGGCCGCTGAATCTTGCGCGTCGTCACAGGCAGGATGGGCGTTGCGCCCACAAACGCACCGCAGCCGTTAGTCCCAACGTCCAGCACCTCGAGCAATGGCATTTCGCCCCGGACGGCGCTGCCTGTGAACGTCACCGTGTACACGATTACCGTCGGGTTGAGGTACAGCATGCGCGAGACGCTCACTTGGTCGACGTTGGGCAGCGTTTGGAGCTCTGCGGCGAGTGCGAGGCTATCCGTGACACCCGCTGCCGCCGACGTTCCCGACGCCCAGAGAAGACACCCGACGTCCATGTTGATGTTGGCGTCCCCGTCGCCACCTGCAATCGTCGTCGCCGTCACCGCGGTGCCGAGTCGGAGTCGGAAGCCGCCGCTGCCAGGGGTCAAGTCTCCAGTCGTAGCTGAGATAGTGATTGTCTGGATGTCTTGCGTCGCATACGCGAGTGTGTCGGCAGTGAGACTGGACTCCGTCGCGGGGTTGACGCTATCGCCCATGGGCAGCGCCGCCGCCGTCAAGCCAGGGCAAGCACAGTTGCCAGCACTGCATGGCGTGTAGACGCGTGCGATCTGACCAGTGAAAGGATCACCAATGCGAAAGTAGTCTTGGCAACCGAGACGCGAGAGCGCATTCTGCGACCCGGCCACGTCTTGCCAGATGCCGTTGAGTGTGTTGCCCGCCGACTGACCCACAATCAGGTTTGTAAACGACCCGAGCGCCGTATCGAGGATGTACAACGGTGCCTCGACAATCGACGGGCCAGCAAAGACGGCAACCGCCCACGGATTTGTCGCCGAGCAAATCGGTACCGTGTTGGGACCCCAGAGGATCTCGAGTGGCAACGCGGCTGCCGGTCCAAAGTTGGCGAAGCAGTTGTGCGCGACAGTGATCGTCGTCGGTGTCGGGAACGCCGAGATTGTCATTACACACGTAGACACTTGCAGTTGCGTCCCGACCGCAAGCAACGCGTTGCCTGTCAGACTTGCCGACACGGTCACTGTGCTCGTCACAAAGTCAAACGACGAGACCGTGGCACCAGGAAAGACGAGCGCGACCGTCGGGTCCAAGCACACGCGGAAGGTCTGCCCCGCAAGTTGAACAAACTCACCGCGGCCCAGAATTCGCGTCAGATCGACAGGGAGGAGCCCCTGTGCCGGGTTGGTCGGAATCTGAGTGATAAACGACGTGCCGGCGGCGAGGTTGAAGTAACTACCCACTTCGACCGAGAAGACACCATAGTAGTCCGCCATCGAGAGCGCAAACGTTGATGTCATGGGCCCAATACCAGCCGACGTGGTGATGCGCATATACTTGGCTGATGGTGCCACCGTCGGCAACGTCACCTGCGTCGAGAAGCCCACGTCGTAGGCGTACTGCACGACATAGCCATCCACCGCCGCGCCACCGGATCGTTCCACCTGATCAAATTGCACTTCGACCGACGTGGCACTGCGCGACCGCATGCTGACGCGGCTCAAAGCACTCGGGACACCAATCGGCGTGTACGGCTGCGTCGCGGCGCCAAACATGCCGTAGCCGAGATCGTTGGCGGCTTGGACGCGCACGTAGTAGGCGACGCCGGGTGTAAGATTCGGAAGCACCACCGACGTCTGCGACGCGGGTAGCGTCATCGACACGTAGTTGGACGGACGCACGCCCTGAGGGTTGTACGACATGACAATATTGGGCAACGTCCCGATGAGACCGATCGTGTTGACACGCAGAGCGTTCGGGGCCGAGAGCGGCCCCAGCTGACTCAAGAACGAGACCGTCCAACTGTACGCACCAAGCGTGCGCGTGCGCGTAACCGAGACCATGCCGACACTGGGTAGATTCTGCAGTGCTACTTGAAGCGACGTTGCCGACACGTCGTACGGCACGTGCTGTGTCCGTGCTTGCATGTACAAGATCGCGTTTCGCGCTGTCGTGCCTGCGTATGGCGTCGGGAGATTGGTCATATCGGCCAGTGGGATCTGCGTACTCGAGAGCGTCCCCGTCGCTGCCACAAGGTACACGACGTTGTGGATCGCGACTTGGTCCCCGCGGTAGAGGTAGCTCGTGAGATCCACCGATGTCGTGAGAAACGATTGTCCTTGCACGACGCTGATGACACCCGGAAGCGCCAATGCGACGGGACCGAACCCAACGGTAAAGACGCCCCCGGAAATCGTGCCCGTCGAAGTGAGCACTTGGACCGTCTGGACGCCAAACCACGGCACGGCGACGGCTTTCGTGAACCATTCGACCAAGTACCCGGAAATGCCAGCACCCGACGAGACGGGCGGCGTCCACGTGGCAACAAGTGACGTGCCCGTCGTATCAGCCCCCGCGCTCAGTACGATGTTGGGCACCGCAAGCGGCTTTTGGTGGGGCGTCGCTGTCACCGGCAGCGTTGCCACCGGTTCGCCAGCACCAAGTTGGTCGTTGGCACAGTACATGCGTACATAGTACATCGTGCCCATCGTAAGGTCCGTGATAGCCACTTCATTGCCACCCGCGTTGGTTCCCGCAATCGTGGTGGCACCTATTGGCGCTCCTGACGCGCCACTATTGAACGACGCGGCGGGGTCCCACTCGATGGTGCAACTGATGATCGGTGCGCCGCCGGAGAACGCCGGTGGCAGGTACGAGACTTGCAGCGACGTCGGTCCCGTCATGTACAGCGCTGGCGGCGCCAAGGTGTTGAAAAGCGACGTCGGTCGACCCGGTAGCGCATACGGCACCATGAGCGAAGCCGGCGCAGTTGCTCGGACCAAACCGTAGCCCAGCGCCGTGAACGCCGAGACGCGGGCGTAATAGACGACCCCGGCCGTGAGCCCTTGGATCGTGTGCGAGATGGGATACGTCGTCGTCGGGGAGACCGTCACGACATCACACACGTTGGCGTTGCAGTAGGCGCCTGCGACGATGGCACCGACCGTTGTTTGCGTCAAAGTGACCGACGCCACGCCCCCAACTGCCGTGAGCGCATTCGTCACTGTCAGCGCGGGAATCGGGCCGACGTCCGACAAGAACGTGATGGTCCACGTCCGTTCGTTTTAGTCGTGGGTGCCGACACGGTAACGTGCACGCCTCCGATATTGGGCATGTTTTGCAGCAGTCGCGTGAGCGTCGGGGCGTCGGCGTCGAAGGGAATCATAGACGACACGGCGGCGGCCTTGACGTGACATACGATACATGCTGTGGTGTCGAGCGCGAGCGCGAAGCCTCCCGAGAGCTCGCCGTTCGACGACGACACCGTCGTTACCGTCTGTACGTGTTGGGTGTAGCTCGTCCACGGTGCCGTGCTCCACTCGACAAGGTACTGCGTCACGGTACTTCCTCCGATACCGTAGACATCTGTGGCAAGCGTCGTCGACGGCGGCATCCACGAGACAACAACTGAGCTCACGAAGCTCGCAGGAGGCGCTGACGAAGGCTGTGGCAACAACTGAATGTTGCTGGGCGGGTCACTTGTCGTGATCGGCGCTATTGTTGCAAAGGCGCTTGGGACGCCTTTTCCGAGCGAGTTGAAGGCCGTCGCGCGCATGTAGTACGTGCTACCCATCGTCAGCGAGCTGATACTGGCCGTGTACCAGTCGTTTTCGGCCAGTGCATACGTTTGACCGGTGAAGTCGGCGCAACTGTAGCCTGGCGCGACGTTCACGGCGGGGGCGGCGACCGAGTCGACTTGCACTTGGCAATTAAGACTGCCAGCGCCGACTGTCAGCCGCGCTCCGACGGCGACTTGACCGGCAAAAACCACCAGAGAGTGTCAGTACATTGGCTTGCAGCGACGTCGCGCAACTGGGACAAATGGCTGTCGAGCTCGACAGTGATGTTGGACCTGATGGTATCACGGTCACGCTGCTCACAGCGGGGGACGAGAATGTCGATGTCAAGTCCCATTCGACCAAGAAGCTCGAGATGGCTTCGGCGCCGTGCCAGTACGCGCTATCACGCACGGCAATCACCAACGACGTCGATGAGAACCCGTTGCCGTTGCCGACACCCGAGACGAGCTGCATCGGTAAAATGAGAGTTGGCTGCGCGGGCAGTTGTCGGCTCACGATAGCATTGCTTCCTGGGCTCGCCGTGCACGCGATCAGCGTTGCGTCGCATGTTGGTGTCGCCATCGCTGGCGGGCCGATACCAAAGACGCTCCACGATCGCATGCGCAATGTATACGCAGTGTTAGGCACGATCGTGATCAGCGAGCTGAATGGATCCGTGAGTGATGACGATGGCACTATGGTGTAGCCGCCACCGGCGGCGTTGACAAGCGACATGAAGATCGACGACGCGGTGAAGCCTGTGCATCCGTGATTTGGTTGCACCGTCATGGTGCCGGTGCTCGTTCCGGCGTTCCAGATTTGGGCCGTGTTGACAATCATGAGACACGGAGGCGATGCCGTGGTGGTCAATTCAAACATCGTGCCTGCCGTTAGTGTCACTTGGGCATTCATTGTCAGCGTAACGCCGGAGAGGGCTGTGACACAACCACCGCAGACGTCACTCGTTGCGAACGCCATCGTCGAGTACTCGATCACGTAGGATAGAATCGGTGCGCCGTTCGTGGTCGTGGGCGGGGCCCAAGTGAGTCGCAACGATGTACGATCGGCTGCATTCGCGAAGACAAGTACACTTGCCGGCGGCGGCGGTTTGCTTCCTGGATGAATGCTCCCGTCGATTGAACAACCGCCGGGACATTGCGTCGGAGCTGCCACTTGCGCTGGACTTGTCCCTGCTGAGTTGGTTGCCGCAACACGAACGTAATAGGGCGCGCCGGATGTCAAGAACCCGCCGTCGATCAACGTTGATGTCCATACATTGCCACCGGCCAATGCAGTGCATCCACCCGAGCCGTCGTATGCCACCGGCAGCAGTTGCGGTACGTTTCCAGCAACCAGCGGCCCGATGAATGTGACGCGGAGCTGCGTGGTGCCAACAGCGGTCCCCGGCTGACTCGATACTGTGACCACGTCGATGTTGGTGAGCGTCATAATGGCATCCTCGAGTGTCGCCGCGTCGGCTGTTGCATCGACGCAGCTCGTCGTTGGTTTGGCGTGCATACTGTATGTGCCTGTTGTGAGGCTGCAACTGGCGCCAGCAACGACACTGACAGCGTTGGCCGTCGGCGTTGCTGTTGCTGCGACGACAAAGACACACGCGGCCCCGAGCTTATCGACGATGAATCTGACGTTGGCACCAAGCATTGGTCTCAGGTCCGGGCCATTGTATGCGATCTGAGTGCCCGTGATGGTGATCGTGCACGCAGCGCAGAGGAGCGTCGAGTAGTCGGCGTCATAGACAAGACGGTACGAGCCGCTTGTGGCCGAAATCGATATCGTCTGAACTTCGGCGCCGAGGGGATACGAGCACGGCGTCAAGGCGCAAGACTGGACCGTGCCATCGGCTTTGTACATACTCATTGGATACCGTGTCGGGCCATTGAACTGTACATTGCTGGCCACGTCCACTTCGTACTCAGTGATAACGGCGCCGCCGTTGCCCTCGAGGAATCCGAGAGCATTCACCGTTGGTTCCATGAACACCACATTGAGTTGACTCGGAATGTTCACGGGACTCACGTACACGGCCACACTCTGTGGCAAGTACGGAATCTGAATGCTCGGGACGATCGGCACGTTTGCTGCAACGACGGCGCCGCTGTAGCCCTTGTTGGACGCTGCAAGCTGTCCGTTGTACGCTGAGACACGGACGTAGTAGGTCGTGCCTGTTGTCAAACCATTGATTTGGTAGCTCGTGGTGGGCGCCGTCACGACGGCGACGGTGCTGTGCACCGTGTCAAACGAAGCTCCTGACTGGATGCAGTTGAGAAACTGGTACGTCGTATCCCACTCGACCAAGTACTTGGTGACGCTCGCGACGTACTGCGGCGGCTGCCACTGTACACCGAGCGACGTGCTCGACACGACCGTTGCCATCACTTGTCGAGGGAGGTCGGAGCGCCGCAGCGACGGCTGGATCCACATAGGCAGCGGATACACCCCAGGAATGATGTCGGTTGCTGTGAAATCCGAGTTGGCCAGAGTTCCTGCCGACACGGTAATGACAAGCGGCCCGAGCGCACTTGGTGCAACGTTGCTGACTGACGAAGACGCAAACGTGATGAACCATTCGACGCGAAACGCTGCCGTGTTGACACCCGACATATCCAGCGTCGTTCCCGTTGGTCCACTTGAGTGATCGCTCCGCGTGACAAAGACGGTGCCCACCGGAGCGAGCGCTTGGAGGGCGGTTTGAATCTGGCTCGCACCGGCATTGAAAGGCACGGCAGCCGAGATGACCGTCGGAAAGTTCGCAAAGCCAAGCGTAAACGTCTGCGGTGTCGCCAAAATCGCATTGATATTGGTGTTGGAGACAACGAGTCGCGTCACACGATCGTTGGCATAGGTTGGCACGGCCGACGTCGGCGCGCTGAACCCAGCGGCGTTGGTAGCCAACACGCGAACGTAGTATTGGCTTGACGCCGCGACGCCTGAGATGACGTAAACGTATTTCCGTTGGCCAGCCACAGCAGGCACGGAGGTCGACCCTGACGTAGGGCTGCCCATGCCAAACGACACGCCAGTGTCCCATTGAACCTTGTAGTTGACGACCGAGGCGTCGAGGGGTGCTGTCCATGAGACGCTGATTTGCGTGTCGGAAAGAATCGATGCGATCGCCGCCGGTACGGGCAGCGGTGGCACGAGCTGCGGTGCAATCGAAAACGGATACACAAAGGGTGTGCTGGTGCCAAACGCCGTGACGGTCCGGAGCTGTACAAAGTACGCGCGGCTATCAACCACACCCGGTAGCGTCACAGACGACGGGAGACCGCCAGCAGCAACGGATCGAGTTGCGACGCAAGGCGTTGTGCCCGATAGCGAGCCACCACACGCAAGCGACCGAGGCACGAGACCTGGCGTCGTCGTAACTAGCAAGAGCGGGACGTTGCCGTCGGACGCGCTAAATGTCACGAGCCACTTGGTACCATACTGCGGTCGCGTCGACGTTGCATCCGACACGACTGTCTCGGACGTCACCGAGACGGTAGAAATGGATGTCAACCCTTGCAGCGCCTGGGCCACCACGCTGCTGGACGCAGTGATTGGAATATTGACGGTCGTTTGGCCACAAAAGACCAAGTTGAAGTAGCCACCAAGGTCGGCGTTGCCAGCGTACGCAAACACAGACTGGATCTCCCGGACGGGTCGCACGACGGTCGTTGTTTTTGTCACGAACGGGGCAAACGACCCGGGAGTCACCTCGGTTACGGTCAATCCCACATCAGCACCTTGTAGCCCTGCGGCCGATGCCACGAGCAGTGGGAGGTTGCCAGAGGTGCCGTTGAATGTCACAGTCCACGTCGTTCCAAACACACCGCTTGGAGCTCGTGTCACAATCGCACCTTGCACCGTCGGGAGAGCGTTGAGCGCGTCGGCGACCATATCGCCTGTACTGTTCCACGACAAAGCCGCCGTACCGTAGCTCTTGAACGACAGCGAGAACGTTCCGGCAAGAGCACTGGTGCCAGAGAGTACGATGCGCTGGACCTCGGGTGCACCCGGTGTCGTGTCGACGTCCACGATGTACGACGAGATGGGGATGCCGCCGGTATCGAGCGGCGGTGTCCACGACACGAGCAGTGATGTGTTGGACGTAGGCTCGACCACGACGTTGATTGGCGCATCGGGCGTCGATGCCACGGTTAGCACTGGAGGCGTCGCATACATGGGAGCCCCGAATGCATTTTGGAACCCGTTCCAGGCCGAGACGCGCACAAAATACGACGCGCTTCGGCGAACGTTTCCAATCGAGTACGACACGACCGACTGCCCTTGGGCAATGGGTACAATCGCGTAGCCGTAGAGAGCGCTGCTCATCGTTGGGAGGGCACCAGGCTTGGTGAGCACTTGAAACGAAATCGTCGCCGCCGGATCCGTGCTCGAGAGTTCATTGGTACTTGGCGACAACACCGGTTGACTGCCCAACTGCGTCAAAAACACGACAATCCACTGGTAGCCGAGGCCTCCCGCATACCGCGAGACCCACAAGTCGCCCGTGTTGCCAAGCCCAAGCAGTGCGTTTTGCACGGCTGCGGCACTGGCGTCAACAGGCAGTGCCACGGTCGTTTGGCCGTTAAATGTCAGCGTAAACGAGCCTTGCAACGCGCCAGCATTGGTCGAGAGCACAAGCGTCTGCTGGTCATATCCGTTGTAGGCCGAGATAGACGTTGTGATTGTGAGCTGCGCGTTCGTGCCCGTGAGGAGCGACGTGGCAACAGCGGTTTTCGACGCGGCAAAGTTGACGTGCGTGTCGGACGCGTCGATCGAGCCCAAAAGCAGCGGAATGTCGCCGTTGCGCTGGGCGTTTTCCCGGTTGGTGAGAAAAGTCACGAGCCACTGGAAGCCGTTGCCGACGGTACTTCGTGACACGGCGACGACACCGATGGGGTCGAGCGCCTGCAACGCTGCTTGCAGATCGTTGGCGGACACGCTGTACGCTAGCCACGGCGTGACGTGGTTGGCAAACGAGAGCCGAAATTGGCCGTTCAAATTGAACGCAGAGGCCGACACGACGATGCTTTGGACGGCGCGCGTCATGTAGAGCAAGCTGGACGTCGCAAGACCAGGCGTGGCGTCGACCGCCTCTTGGCTCATGCAATCCCACTCGACTTTGTACCTCGTCACGGGCGCCCCGCCGTTGTCATGCAGCGTGCTAAAGTTGACAGTGATCGAGTGATTGGCGCCGCCACCGAGCACAATTGTTGTCGGCGGCGACGGAAACGACATGGGCACCGTCGCCGCTGGCGTCGGCAGGCCGGCGTTGTCCGAGTACCCGTAGGCATTGTAAGCATAGACGCGGACGTAGTAGGGCGTGCCTTTGACGAGGCTCCCGATGCCCATTTGACACGGACTGAGGAGACAATCGACACCCGGCAGCACGACGGCCGAAACGTCGTAGCCAAGCGCGCCACCGTCGGCGCCACCGGTGAACGCCGGCGACGTGTCCCACTCGATGCGGTACTTTGTAATCGCGTTGCCGCCACTGCTCGCAGGCTGGTTCCAATACACGACGAGTGTCGAGGCCGCAACGGGTGCCACGCGCACGTTTAGAGGAACGTCTGGGGCTTGTTGCGGCGGGTATACAGCCGTCGACGCCGTCGGATCGCCGTAGCCTTGTCCGTTGTAAACTGAAACTTGCGCAACATACGATGTACCCGGCGCCAAGTTGGTCAAGAGGTAGTTTAACGGGGGCGGTGCCGCTGCGCTGACCTCGATGCTCTGGAGACTCTGAGGTGGCATCCCAGGTGTCGTGTAGCCAATGGCCGCTGCAAGACCTGTGGCCGTGGCACCAGCGTACGGCACTGTAAGCGTCACTTGGTCGGTTTGAACACTGGCAACGAGGTACACAACCCCCGCAATCGAAATGCCTTGGCCGATCGACGCCGACGTCTGGATGCCCACCGATGTCACGACCGCCGAGTTTTGCACGACGTCGACGTTGATCGATGTCGCGCCGACGCGCGCCGGTTCCAAGTTGGCGCCAATATCGATCACGAGGTCCGGTGACTGCAAATCGTGCGTCAATGGAATCGACAGCACTTTGCCGCGCGGGTACTCGGTCAAGAACGTGATCGTCCATGCGTACCCGCCGCTTGTGCTCGGAGACCGGACGACTTGGATCGACCGGAGATTGTTCAAACTGCTCAAGCTTGCTGCCATGGCTGCTGCGCTGGCCGAGATAGGTAAAAAGTCCGTTGTCTGCTGGTCGTACGTGATCTGAAACGAGCCCGTGACGGCAACACTGTTGGTGTCGAAAATGCTGATAATCTGGACCTCGGGAATACCAGGCGATGCTGCTTGGTACCACTCGAGAAGGTACTTCGTGACCTCGCTGCCTTTCGTATTGGACGACGGCAGCCAAGCGAGCTGAAGCGTCGAGCATGCGTCTTGAACGCTGTGGAAACCATCCGCCATGACAGCGCTCAACGTGACACCTCCCGCGATAGGAATTGCGTCGGCTTTGGTCATCGGGATCGCGGAGAGTGGTGCTCCCACGGGAACACTGGACCCCATGATATTGATGGCGCGAACACGGACGTAGTACAACGTGCCTGGCGTCAAGGACGAGATTGTGTGCTTGAACATCGTCGACGACGGGTACTCAGCGAGGAACGAGGCCGGGGTTTGCGTGAACGACGCATTCTGGACACTGAAGTTAGCCGCTACGTCCCACTCCACGAGATAAGACGTCACGATCGCGCCGTTGATGGTTGCCGGCGGCCTCCAAAAGACGCGCAAGCTCGAGCTCGAGCCCGCAACGAGGTTTAAAACCACGGACGTCGGGGCGCTCGGTACTGCCATCGGCTTGAGTGTCGTCACCACCGACGGCAAGCCATACCCAGCGCTTGTGTGTGCCGAGACTCGGACGTTGAAGCCACCGGTTGCACCGCCATCACCAGGAAAGGCCGGTGCCGTGACCGCCGCCACTTGGACGAGCCCCGTGATTGTAAACGTGTAGGGAGCAAAGGGCGACACAACAAGCGACACATCCGTGCTTGACAATGGCACGGGCATTGTACCAACAACGCTGTCAGAGATGGCGCAAGTGAGGACACCGGCGGGGTTTCCCGTGGCGGTCGTCGACGCACCTGCGCAAATGGCGGCGGCAGTCGACCCGAGCAGCAAGGTTCCGTCGACGACGAGCGGGGCCACGGCGCCAAATTGCGTCATAAAAGTGATCGTATACGTGGAGGCTTGGCCTGTCACTTTTGTGTACGAGACGGCAACTTGGCCGACGCCAGGCAGAGCTTCAAGTGCGGCAGCTACGTCCGAGTAGAGTGCGTTCCAGGCAAGCGGCCCCGTAGTTTGGACGCCGTTGCCGAGTGTAAAGGAACCGCCCGTGACGGCGGCGGCCAGCTTGAGCGTTTGCTGCGCCAGGACGCCGGTCGGCGACGGTGGCCACCACTCGACACGATACTGATCGACGACAGCACCGCCGTCGTTGGCAGGTGGCGAGAACGTTACGAGTAGGGACTGCGCGCCAGCAATGCTCAACATGGGAGACAGTGGTGGTGTCGGTAGAATGCCGTACGGGGCAACCGCAAACGGACTCTCCTTGATATGTGCGTCGGGGTAAAAGAGCCGTTCGGACGGCACCACGCTCCAATCTTGGGACGGACTCGACCACGACAAAATGCACGCGGCGGCGCCCGTGTTTTCTCGGTACTCGAGCACAATGTCGTAGAGGCGCCCGGCCACGAGCGCGGTCGCATTGGAAATGTACGTTGTCATCGCGCTCACGTCAATGTCATATGCATCCAGCACCAAGACGTGGTTGACCCACAGCCGCGCACCATCGTCGACTTGAACGCTAAATGTGTACGGCTCGGAGAACGCCGGTTGGAGGTAGCCTGTCCATCGCACACTCACATAGTCTTGGCCCGTCGGCGTAATGAACGTGTCCCAATAAAAGTTGACGTCCGCGTCGATGCGTTCGAGCACCGGATCTCCGAGGAGCCATCGATTGTTATAGTAGGAGCCCACCAGACCGTTGGGGTAAGCGTGCACCACGTCCAACTTGTAGGTGCCCGTGCGTGGCGTTGTGTACGTCGCCAGATACTGCCCCGGCGACGCATACGTCGCGTAGCCCGTGACGGTCGCGCCACCACGAAGCCGCGGCACAAAGTACTCACCGAGTTGACCGTATTGACTGGCGGTGGCCCCTTGCACCGACGAAGGACACGTAGGCGTGACCAAGACGGAGACGCGAGCGCCAGTGAGCAAGTGCCCTTCGGCGTACAGCAGATCGAGGTTGCCGTCGATCGCAAGTAGCGTGATGATCCAAGTGAACCCGTTGTTGGCCCCCGACACGGGCGAAGAGACTTTGACAGCGTAAATGTCGGGCAGCTGCTGCAGGGCTGACGTGAGCGCGGTCGACGAAATCGAGAAGGGAAGGTCAGGCGTCCGCGCTCCGTGAAACGAGATGAAGAACGTTCCACCGATGGGCGACGTCGCCGTTGTTTGCAGCTGCTGCGTGTAGTTGGCGGTACACGCCGTCACAACGATAGACGCCGTGCCGACGCCGTTCGAGGTGCTGAGCGCGCTGCTGTCGGCTGCGATCGCCGGCACGTCGCCGAGGTTCGAGTCGAACGTGACGACATACGCGTACCCCATGAGCGAGTGGACGTACAAGTCGGTGGTTTCGCTCGTGGGGCCAGAGTACGGGGACGACAGCAACACCGATGTTGCAGTGACTTGAGCCACGGTGTAGACTGGCCCCGACACGCTTCGCAGGCGCACCCAGTCGCCAACACTGACGGTGCCCACCAAGGACACGGACGTCGTGATGGTCTGCGAGAGGTGTGTCGCCGACACGGTGCGCAGGAACGTCGTCGCACACGTCGTGCCAACATCGACTAAACCGATGGTGGGAAGCGCATTCAAAGCCGCTTGAACTGTCGCGATCCCCGCCTTCCACGATAGCGCCGTCGTCGTCGCGCCCTTGTACGTCAGTGTGAACGTGCCCTCGAGCGCTCCGAGCCCATCACCGTTTGCGATCATCGTCTCGACGATCTGCACTTCGCGCATCGGGTTGTGATGCGTGATCAAATTGCCGTACACATCGCGCGGCTGAATGCGAAATGTCGACGGCGTGCTAAACGCGCCGGTCACGAGACCGTTCAAGCCCGCGGTGTTGAGCGTGCCTGGCCAAAATGGCACAGCGCTGCTCGTGGCTGTTGTTTGGGCGGCGACCAAGACACCCGACACAATGCGCGGCGCAAAGGGGCTCGTGCCTTGGACGGGGATGTTGCCATTGGGCGATGCCAATGCCGCCGCGTAGACACCGACGGATGCCGGGGTGCCACCCGTCAACGGTGTCGTGACGGTTGCCGTGAGCGACGCCATGTCGCCAAGCATACGTGTTGAGACGAGGTACTGCTGTGTGGCATAGCGTGCAGACGACCAGTACATCGTCTGCGCGGCGCCCGGGAGGGTGGCCATAAATGTGACAAGCCATTCGGTACCCTGAGGGCTGACGATCGACGACGTCACGACAACTCGCACACTGGCATCGACCAAGAGACCATTCAGGGCCGTCTGCATAGCGCTGGCGGGGGCGTTGTATGCAAGCGCTGGCGTTGTGAGCCCGTTCCATGTCAGTGCAAAGGCGCCACCGGTAACAACGCCGGTACCACCATCGACACGGACGACTTGCACCTCGTTGGCCACGGGCTGGCCCATATTGGTCGACGTCTTGATGTGCGCCATCGTGCCATGCTGCAGCGTTGCCATCGTCGCCGTGCCCGTGTGCAAATCGGACGCCACGAGCAGCTGCACTTGGTCACCAACAAACTCTGTAAAGGTGATCGTGTGCAGGAAACCATTGTTGCTTGGTGTTGTCGTCACGCTGACGTTGGCGTCGAGAATCGCGGTGAGTGCCACTTGGATCTGCGCACCCGTGGCGTCCCACGCCAACGATATCGTTGTCGCGGACGCGGACGACAATGTGTAGGAGCCGCCGCGGTTGATCGCCGTTGGAAAGCTGATGGCGAGTGTTTGCACCTCGGGGAGCACCGACATGGCGACGGCGAGCGTCGATGTGCCAGACATGAGTGGCGTGTACGTCACGTTGTACAAGCCGCTGCCGGCGTAGACCACCGTGCCCGAGACGTGCGCCGAGTCTGCATACGTGACACCCGCAGGGTAGACGTCGACTTGAAAGTTTTCGAGCGGATCCAAGTCTTCTTTGTTGTTGCCGTGGGTGTCTTTGGCTTGGATCGAAAAGGTGCTTGGTACGCCTGCCGTGCCTTGAACGAGGCCAGAACCAAACGCAGTCGTGACGGCGGGGTTGGTTGGCCCCGGCTGTACGACGAGCGTTGTCGGAAAACCGTTAATGCGTTGAATTGGAACGCCGACGCGCAGTCGGGCGACGGCCACCGAGGCTGCGTTGCCTGTCAGCGTCGAGGCAAACACCGGCGTGAGTAACTGCAACTGGCCTTCTGTGGGCGACCGCGAAAACGTAATCGTCCACGTGCACCCAAGCGCTGCATTCCCGCTGATGCAAACGACGGGTGACACGGTGACACTACCGACGGGAATGTTGCTGCAGGACTCTAGCGCCGTTGTCAATGCCGCAGCGTCGGCGTTGTACGAAATCGGTGTTGTCGTTGCGTTCGTCAGGACGCCGGAGGCCAACCCCGAAAACGTAAGCGCAAATGTCCCTCCGAGCAAACTTGTCGACGCCGTTGTCACGGTCTGCACTTCGCTGACCGGCGGCACGTAGGCGTCCAGCGTGTAGTTGCCCTTGACGAGCGGCACAAAGCTCACACGGTACTTGCCTGTCCTCGCACCCGCCTTGTACACGGGTACAAGCTGTCCATCCAAACCGTTGTAGGCCTCGGCCAGCGGTACCGTCGTCGCACCAAACGTGCCAAAGATCGTATCCACGGTGTGGATCTCGCGTCCGACGACGATCGTGTCACCGCGCTGCAACGGACTCTGTACATTTCGAAAGTCGGCTGATGTCGCTGTCAAGGCCATCGCACCGTGCTGCACCGAGGCGGTTCCGAGATACCGCCACGTTTCGGGTACCAGCGATGACAGGCCAAACGCGCTCGTCGCAAACGTACTGCAGCCGTGGCTGGGTGCCACAGTGACGGTAGAAGACCCGAGGCTAAACGCTGTCGTTGACTGCACGGTAAAGAAGCAGTCGGTTGTCAAGGCGGGTGTCGCTGTGCCAGGGTTGGCGCCAATGACACGGAAGCCCATTCCTGGCAAGAGTTGTGCCAGTACGTCTTCGTTGACCGTAATAACGTCCGCAGCCAGTGCGGTGACACACGCGGGGCAGAGAAGCGACGGCGTCAGCTGCACGGGGATGTTGGTAGCGACTTCGTTGACACGCCCGACGCCAGCCCACCCCGAGGCACCGACCAGGGAAACTTGCAGGTTATCGTTGCCCGTGTTGAGACGTGGATTCCCGGCGCTGTCGAACGTGGCAATGTCGAACGTCACGGGTGCAAGCGCCTTGACGATCGAGTTGGCAGCGTACGAGGCAGAGCTCATACTTGTGTTGATAGCACCAGGATACACGACGACGTTCAGCGGACTCGCATCAATGTGACGCTGGTACGCCCACGCCGACGACGGGATCACGGCGAGCGACTGGGTGGAAGACGCCCATGCGACCGTCAACTGCGAGGTCGCCCCCGCGCTGTACATTATCTGCACACTCGAAAACGTGCCTTTGGTCAACAGCACGGTCGTCGTGTAGTTGCCACTGGCCGGCGACGTGGCTTTCAGTATGACAGAGCCATTCAGCGATACGGTCACGTTGCCTTGCACAAAGACGTTGATCGTGTAGGTGTCCGTTGTTGGGGCGTGAGCTCGCCGAGCCAGACAACGCTAAAGTTTTGCCTGGAAAACTCGGACTGCTCGTCCCAAGCGGCTGTGTCTCGCCCCACATAAAGTCGATCGTCGCGTCGAGGCGCGTCATGTCGCACGGTGACAAGTCTGTGTTGGAGAGCCGCGTCATGGGACACGGGTTGAGCTGTGCCTGCAAGAAGCGACTGTCCCGGAAGTAAGTTGCGCCAAGCCCGCCCCGTTGCCGGTACAGAATGCTCAACACGTAGTTGCCCGCAACTTGAGGCACGTAGGACAACTGGTACGTCCCGTCGGTGTTGGGCACCGGCTCGACGACGGCAACCGGAATTGTAGCCGACGCGCCAATGAGTGACGCCACGTAGCTTTGTGTCGATAGCGGCACGCTCCACTCGAGCGTGTTCAAATACGCATCGCGGCTCTGCACGACGATGGCTTCCCGGATACCTTGTGTTGCCGCCGCGCGCGCATTGTGCGTACAGTAGGGGCCATTGGCGTGGCCTGTGACGACTTGGATCTTGGCCGGGCTCAAGCTCGTGCCACCCCCGATCGACACACTCAACGCATAGATGCCTTTGCGCGTCGGGAAGAAGGTGGCAGTGTAGAGACCATTGGCGACACCGACAAGAGATGTGAGCCCACGCACGGTTTCGACGACCACGACCTTGGAGACGCCCGATCGGACGTTCACGACTTGCAAGACACTGGCCAATCCGATCGCGTTAAAGGTGATGCCAATCGGTGCTGGTGACGTCGCAACACACACCGTAGCTTGCGACCCCGTGACAGTGACACCGCCAAGTGCCACGATATCGGGCATCGCGTTGAGAAGTGACGCAAGACCGGCGGGCGTGGTGGACGTCGGCACCGTCACCGTGCTGGATCCGTAGACGAGATCAAAAGACGTCGTGACGCCCGTACACGTCAGCGTCTGCTGCGCATGGTTGCCGATCGTGATTGCCGTCGTCGTGCTTGCGACACCGGCGCGTTGCCGTTGGATCGAAATCATATTGTTGGAGTTACCCCAGACAAGCAGTGCATTGGGCTGCGGTACGAGGAACGTGACACGGATCTCTCTCCCGTTGTACGGGTGGCACACAGTCGACGTTGGCGACATGGGAGTTAGCAGAACGCCACCCGTCACAAGCGCGTTAAGCTGCGTGTTGAACACTGCAAGGCTCGTACTGGCGCCGACGGTGATCGTCGTACCACCAAATGTGAGTGAGAACGAAGCTGTGCCGGTGCACTGGAGACTTTGCACTTCTTGGATGCCGGGATCGACGTATGTTTGCGTTGCCGAAATGGCAATCGCGCCGAGATCCGAGAGCCCCGCGCGGTTGTTACCCGACGTGCCAGCGACCACTTGGATGACATCAACAAACGGCTTCAACTGCCCCGCGTCCGACACGACCAAGTTGGAACTGTCGGCTTGAAGCAGCGGAACGTTGCCAACGTTGGCCGTAAACGTGACGCTCCAAACATACAAGATCTGCTGCATCATGTTGCCGCCTTCGAGCGACACATCGAGAGCATCCATGGACACGACCACACCGTCGAGGCTTTGCAACGCATTCAAAGCACTTTGCACGATGCTGGCACCGGCGTTGAACGCGAGCGGCGGAGTCACTTCACCCGCAATGGAAAGCGTGTACGTCCCCCACACAGGCAAGATGCCACGGACCCCATTGCTTACACCCTCTCCCGTATCTTTTTCACTTGTGATTGTCATCGTTGCGCCGCCCACAGGCGCGTACGTGAGTGCCGGTTGGTACCCGACGGCTTCAGTGAATTGGATGAAAACGCGGTTGGCCGCCGTTGCGCACACGGTCGTGACACTGCTACTTTCGCTCGTGACAGTGATCATCGACCCCACAAGCGTCGACAAGGCTGTTTGAAACGCCGTCAACGTGCTGCTGGCACTAACGGTGGTCGTAGCAGCGCCAAAGCCGACCGTGAAATCCCCCGCCGTACCGAGGTTGGCTGCGGTGCACGTGAGCGTCTGGATCTCGGCACGCGTCGACGTTACGCCTTGCGTGAGCTCGCTCACAATGGCGCCGGCACCCGGCACTAAATATGGCACCGGGCCAGGGACGTTGGTGAATGTCACTTGGAACGCTTGTCCGTTGGCCACAGAGGCACCATCCGCCGAAGTAATCGTGACGCCACCGATACCGATCGTGGCCAAGTCCCCGAGACTCGATGCAAGTGCACTCCACGAGGTGCCAGCGGCCACCGACACGGTAGGAGAGCCCCGAAACGAGAGTGTGAACGGTGTCGTCGTCACGGATACTTGCTGCACAGCAGGGACGTTGGCAACGACGACGGCCTGCAGTCGAATCGCCTGGACTTCTTGTCGACGAGCATCTTTGGCTTGGATTTGAAAGGTGAACGGCGTACCCGCGACACTGGGCAGGGTTTCGATGGCGACGATCGACGTGGCCGATGACGGAAGCGGGCGGGCGTACCAATTGCCACCTGCAGCGACGGACGATGTCCCATCGACGACGGCGTTCGACACGGTGAGCTCGAAGGGGCTGCCCATAATAGGGACGCCGTCCGCCAATATGCTCATCGAGTAGACACCGGCCACCGTCATCGTATAGCTCACGGGGTACACCCCCGCACTTGCCAGCGTCGAAACGACCAGCGGTTGCTGGTACAAGCTGTTGGGAGCCGCCGGGTATTGGACCGCAAGCTTGGCCGTCGACCACGATGCCAGCGCGGATAGAAACGTAATGCTCCAGACGTTGTGGCCGCTTCCGTCCGTCGTGAGCGTCACAGACACCTTGTTCCCGGGGCTCAAGAGCTCCAGCGCCGTCTTCATACCAATCGCACTGATGGTCGACGGAAGTAGCGCCGTGAGACGTGGCGTCCCAAGTGCCACAAAAATGCTGCTCGTCGCTCCCGTGAGCGCCGCGCAACCGTGGTTACCAGCGACCGTGATACTGCCAGCGGCAACGGCCGTTGTTGTCAAGACGCAACTTCCGACCGTGATCAGCGTGTCGACACTCAAGAGACCGACGAGATTGGTCGTCACGGTGAGCGTCGTACCGGTCAGTGTCGTGGCGCAACCTGTGCAAAGGCTCGTTGTGAACGACCCGTACGTGAGCTTAAACGAGCCCGCTTGCGTGCTGCTGGCAGTGATGCGTTGTACGGCAGACGACGTTACGATTGTCTCCGCATCGGGCGCCGTTGGGTCTGTCGGGGTCATGGTGACCAAGAAGGCGTCCGAGACACCGTCGCCAGTGCTACCCGAGTGCGCTGTCGTCGCACCGACTCGCAAATTGCCAAACGCATCCATGGCGTGGATGGAGAAGCCTGTCGGTATCGCCGACGTAGCGAGGCTCAGACCATTGGTGCCCACGTCGCGGGCATACGAACTCGGCGGATGCAATACGTTGTGAACGACGACAAGTGACGACGGGATCCCGATCGCATTGCACGTGCCACCGGGGCACATGAGGATCGGGGACCCTTGAAAGAACGTCTGTAGCGTGTACGTTCCCGCGCGCGGAATGCTCATTTGGACGCTGTACTTGCCGCCACTGAGGTACGAGAGCACGCTGCTGCGGTAGCGCACCGTCGTGTCTGCGACGAGAATCGCTTTGGTCTCGAAGGCGTCGCCACCGAGGGACTGGAAGTTGCCGTACGTGTCTTTGGCTTGGATACTAAAGTTGGACGCTTGGCCCGCAACCATTTCACTCAAGCTGTCCATGCGGGGTGGGCTAAACCCCGTCGCTGTCGATGTATACGGCACGGTCTTTCCCGGCGCCACAACGACGGTGAACGGACTGCACTTGTTAGCGTGCCCGAGGCCGCAGTAAATGTCGGTGCCACCAATCGTAATCGAGAGCTGGTACGAGCCACTGAGTAGCGCCTTGTATTGCACTTGGTACTGACCGCTGCCAAGATACGAAGGCGGTGCGGTCGGTGCGAGCGTCGAGCTGGCCCCGATCAGAGCCACGTCAAAGACGTCGCCGCCCACGGTCTTGTTGTTGCCCAATTGGTCCTTTGCTTGGATGACAAACGATGCGATAGCGCCAGCCGACGTTGCACTCAAGCCTGGCCCCGTGGCCATGGTGTACGGGTAGTCGGTCGCACCCGGTAAAATGTCGACGGAATATGGGCTCCCGAGAATGTGACTGGGGTAGTACAGCATGCTTGTGTCGATGACTTGCAGCGGAAGATACGTACTGCTCCACTGCAGATTGATGTACGCACTTCCCGTCGCCTTGTGGTACTCGAGTCGGATGTCGCAGTAGACATTCGCCGAAAGCGTAAACGGCACGGTCGCCGACGTCGGTGTCGACTCGGTCGCCCACGTGTCGAGAACGAGTGAATGGTTGAGCCAGAGCCGGACGCCGTGCGAGGCTTGGAGCGAGAAAAGATACATGTCGGTGTGTGGTGGAAGGAGCTTGCCCCACCAGCGAACACTGACATAGTCTTGGCCAAACGGTGTGATGGGTGCTTGGCCCCACGCAAACTGCACGTTCCGGTCGATTTGGACGGCCACCGGGACGTCTTGGAGCCAATAGTTGTCATAGTACCAGGCCTGCCAGCCTCCGCGAAGAAGCTGAAGCACCGCGAGGGAGTAGGTAGATGGTGTTGCCGGTTTGTACATCCCCGTGTAGCTCGGGCGCCCGGCCGTTTTCTTTTCGACGAGTAGCTTCGGATTGTTGCCTGTGAGTGCCTGCTTCGAGCCCGCTTGCATTTTGAGCACCGAGACCGAGGCAAAGCTGCCCAAGAGCGGCGAAGTGTCAGCCACCAGAAGCGAATTCTCGCCGAGCTCAGTCCGGAACGTGACGTCCCACGAGTACTGACCGCCCGGTGTCAAGAGGTTGCTCCGTGTCACGTCCACGAGGCCCACCGACGGCAACGCCTGCAAGGCGGCTCGCAACGCTGCTGCCGTTGCATCAAACGGGATCAACGTCGTCGTTTGGCCGTTGAACGTGAGCGTAAAGTTACCGTGCAGCGGCGTTGGCACGCCGCCGAGCGTCTGGACGCGCTGGATCTGGTACTGAATCGGGAATGCTTGTAAAAGCGGAAGGCTCCCGAGGTTTTTCGTGAACGAGATCGTCCACCGAAACCCGGTGCCGACGTTGGCGACTTGCACATCGACTTCGTGGATCGTCGGCATAGCTTCGAGCGCTGTCTTCATGACGCTTGCTGACGCCGCATACGGAATGTTGGGTGTTGTCGCGCCGCCGAAATTGACAACAAACGACCCTGTGAGAGGCGACGTTCCGCGAACGACCTCGTTGACGTACACGGTGGCACTCGTGCCGGTGAGCGCCATCGAGGTCACTTGCAGCGCCTGGACGTTGCCGACAAGGCCCGTAAATGTGATGAACCACGTTATCAAACCCGACGAGCCGTTGGCATCTGCCGACGCTGTTGTGACGGTGACGGTGCCGAGGTTGGTGAGCGACTGAAGCGCGGTTGTCATGGCAGCCGCCGACGCCGAGACGGAGATTTGCACGCTCGGCGACCCCATGAACGCGACGTTAAAGGTGCCACCAATCGTTGTCACGGCGCCCGTTGCATCCAGCCACGTGGTGAGACTTTGCACTTCGGAAACGAACGCTACGTCCCCCGACGCTGTGATCGTTTGGACTTCGGTGCGTCCTTGCGTAACTTCTGTAAACACCATGGCAGCGCCTTGGGCTCCCGTAAAGGCCGCGTCCGTGCTTGAGAGATGCAGCAGTGGCAGTGGCCCGAGGTTCGCGACAAAGGTGACAGTGTACGTCCACGAAGCCGCGCTGTTGGTGACACGAGAGACAACGACGGTGGCGACATTGGCCAGCCCTTCGACACATCCTTTGAACGCAAAGGCGGCGTTGACATCCGTGGCCGCGGCCAGCGTTGCGGCGTTGAGTATCACCGTCGACGTCGCGGCGACACCACCGAGACGCGCCGACGACGTGTCGAGGGCGACGCTAAACAGCCCCGTCGTCGCCGTAATCGTGATGCTTTGCACCTCCAAAATACTCGGGTTGTACGTGGCAACGCCGCCGTCGTTGACCCACGAGTGCGTCCCATCGAGCACCGAAGACGGGCTGGACCAGAGCTCGGTAAAAAACGTATCCGCGCCCGCAAACCCGCTGGCAGCGTCAATGTCCGTGACGATTTGACCTGACGCCTTTCTCGGAAGGATCGCGAATTGGTTGGCGACGCCGCGGATGTACTCGGCCACTACCGCCTGCGGGTTGGAACTCACAAGCGACGGGACGTTGCCGAGGAGACTCCGAAACGTGATGAACCACACGACATCGGCGGACCCAACAAGGCTCTGCTTGGTCACGTGCACGGTGCCGAGACCGACGGACGGAACCGTGAGCAGTTGGGCGAGAGCGTACGCTGTGGTCGCGACTCCGATATTGCCCGTCGGCGTCTGCGTGCCCAGCGTGAGCGTAAACGTACCAGCGGCCAAGCTCGCGGTTGTGACCGTCTGCACCTCGTACACCACACCGGCGATACCGTGAGAGAGCGCCGAGCCCATGGCAGTCGTCGTCAGCGCGCTTGCTCCACCCCGTGCTTCGATCGATGCTGTCGATGGACTTGCAATCGACTTGCCGGCGGCGTTGAGTGCAAGTACCTGAAAGGCGTATGACGTGTCCATTTGCAGATTTCGTGCCACAAAACTCGTGTTGCTCGGTGCTTGCGAACCGTCGTAAATGATCTGTCCCGGTGTACCGTCTTGCAGCGTCGTGACCACGGCCGACGTTGCCCCACCGGTGAGGCGCCCGGTCGTGACGGTCATCGGAGGCAGATTCCCCAGCTCCGTCAAGAATGTGACTGTCCAAGCGCGCGCGCCGTTCGCCCCCGTTGTCAGAGCCACATTGACGTGCGAGATACTCGGTAGGTTTTGCAGATGCCGCGTCATTTCGGCCGCGTCAATGTTGTACGGTAGGTGCGGCGTGGCGTATCCGTTGAAGCGCACAGTAAAGTCGCCGCCAGCAACCGTCGTACCGCGTGTTACCCGAGTCACCGAGTACGCGTACGGAGTGTTGGCATTTGCGTTGACGAGCTGATTTGGGTTGAGCGCCAGCAGCGTCACGGGCCCTGATACACCGGTGTATGACACGGTCCACGTGATGCCCCCCGTCACCGTGGCTTGCGTGACAACGACAGACCCAATGCCTGTACCTTGGATCTCGGACTGGAGCGCGGCGTTCCCGGCGTTGTAAGGCATGGGTGCCGTGTACTTGCTGTTGATGTACAGCATAAACGAGCCCGTGGCCCCCGTGATTGTGAACGATTGCACTTCGGTCGCTGGCGTCGGCACCGTAATTGCAATTTGCTGGATCTCACTGACGACCGGCGTCGGCGACGACAAGAGTGCCGAGTTGACCCCGCTGAATTGCCACAAGAGGTACCCTGTAAGCGGCGACCCGTTACACGACGTGGGGTTGGACGTGCACTGCGTTGGTGGCGACCACGATAGACTGATATACGACGAGGCAACGTCGAGAACGACGGGTGCGGCCGGTGCCATCGGCGTGTTGGCCATGACGACGGTCAGCGCCGGACTCATTGCTGACGTTCCGATCGCATTCACGGCGCGCACGGCAAAGCGGTACGTGTTGCCTTCGGTCAGCGCCGGTACAAACATACTGTAGCCATACGGAAAAGTGTTTTGAAGGGTCTGGAGCACAAAGTTGTTGTTGCCCGCGTCCATGTACACTTGGTAGTCGGTGATGGGCGACCCGCCATTGTCGGTCGGTGGGCGCCAGTTGATGTAAATGATACCGTCGTTGGCGGCCGCCGTGTTGATACTCGTGCGCGAGTCCAGCGTCGGTGCCTCTGGAGCGATCGGCACAACCGGGCTGCGCACCGTGTACGAAGCCGGTGGGCTAAAAGGCCCGTAACAGGCCACTGTAGCGTCTGTCGGCTGGCAATACGTAATCGCGCGCACAATCAGCGTGTACTGGTGCCCCGACTCGATCAAGTTGTCGGTGACCGTCGAAAGGGTGTACTGTTTCGTGAGGCTGTTTCGCCCGTCGTACACCCGTCGGTTGCTGCCCTGCCAATCCGAGAGCCAGAGCTCGTAGCCCGTGACCGGCGACCCGCCGTTCATCGTTGGCAGCGCCCACTGCACCGTCATCGTCGTGGCCGTCGACGAGACGAGTTGGACGGGCTCTGGTGCGCCGGGCTGCGTGCTTTGAGGCGTCACTTGTGGCGGTGTTGGGTACGCTCGATAACCTTGGCTCACGCTGTTGCGAAACGACACTCGAGTATAGTACGGCGTGCCCGTGGTGAGTCCCGAAAGAAGCATTTGGTACGGCGGACCACCCGACAAATTGGTGCTCACGCGCGAGCTTGCAGGGCCACGACCAGCAACAACCTCGGCGACAGTGACGGCGGCATTGTTCGCGACGCCTCCGAAGAGCGTACCCGCAAACTGAGGCACGAGCGGCACGAGGTTGCCCGTGTTGCACACGGATGTGATGAGGTCGGGTAGGAGTCGGCACCCGTTGAACGAGACGAGCCACGTAAACCCATTTGGCGTTTGCGTTCGCGTGACGGCGACGCGACCGATGGACGCGACGTTCTGGAGCGCGGTCTGCAGCTCAAGTGCCGTCACATAGGGGCTCATGTTGATGGTGCAGAGCCCGAGGTAGCAGAGATTGAAGGTACCACTGACCGGTGTCGATCCCACCGTGCCGGTCGCGACCACAGCTTGAACCCCCGCTCCCGTGAGCCCAGTGGTTCTTGCGACAAAGAGTGGCATCGCGCCGGCCCCGTACGGAAAGCTACCTGGGTTGGACGTGAACGTGACAGACCACATGTAGCCGTTCTGCAGCGTCGGGCCCGTCCGAACTACGCGAACCGAGCCAATGTTGGGCAGCGCCGTCACACTTGCTTGCAGCGTCGTATCGGAGGCGTCAAATGGAATCGGAGCCGTGACATGGCCCATAAAGCCGAGTGTGAACGTGCCGCCAAGCTGGTTGCCACTAACGGATTGCGGCACCGACCCGATGGTTGCTCCATTAGTGTAGACGACGATGCTTGCGCCGTTGCCGGTGAGCATTTTGTCGGCCCATTGCAGCGCTGGGACACTTCCGCTACCTTGAAACGTCACGCGCCACAGAAGCTCGCCGCGTGCTGTGCTCCCTGCCGGGAGGGCTGCCGACCCATCGGTGACCGTGATAGTGATTGCCGAGTCGAGTGCCTGGAGAGCGCTTTGAACGGCTGCGGCGGTCGCCGTCGCAGGCAGCTGCACAGTAGTGGACTGCATGCCTCGCAAATACAGTAGCTTGAACGAGCCGCCTGGCATGGCCTGGCCCTGGGTGACTTCGAGGACGTCAATGCGTCGATTGCCAGTGAGCGCAAAGGTGTTGCCGGTCATCGGGGGCAGATCCCCGGCGGCATTTTGAACCGTGGTGAACGTGACGGTGAAGCCGCCAGTGCAGCCGGTGATCGGGCACGGCGCACAGGCTGTCGTTTGTCCACCGAGAAAGGCCACCGACACGAGAGTGACTGTCGTGAGCTCCTGAAGTGTCGCCTTGATGTTGGCTGTCGACGTCTCGGACGCAGCGATCGGTGCTGTCGTCAACCCCATGAACGTCAGCGTAAAGCTGCCGCCGCTCGCGTCGCAGTTAACTCGTTGGACTTCGACGGCGGCCGGGCCCGTGTACGTGCTCGCAAGGCGCACGAGCTGCACTTCGTTCACTACTGTTGCGGACGTCGTGATTGTTTGCACTGCATTGACGACGGGGACGTTCAGCGTGATCGCTTGAACTTCGTCGACAATCTGGGCAGTGTCCCAGTCGACCTGGTACGCATCGATGGGGACGCCGCCGTCGCTCAGCGGGGGGTACAGCGTCATCTGTAGCGTCTCTTGGTCGATAATGGTGACCGAGACGTTTTGTGGCGACTGCGGTGGCTCTATCGACGACCGACGAATAAAGAAACGCGATTCAACACACTCGACGTACGTGCAGACGGGGTCGCAAATGTCGGGTATGCCATGGCCGGTACGCTTGTGCCGACGGCGTTGATGGCACTGACGCGAAAGTAGTAGGGAATATTTGTGTCTAGCTGCGACACGGCCACCGAAAGCTGACTCAAATCGGTGAGAAAGGCCGACCCGAACGGAACCCCTACATCGTTTCCTCAGTACAACGCACAGGATGGTGGATAGAAACCATTCGCAACGTCTTCGAGTTGAAAGGCGGCGCCACGCCTTGCACGGCCTGCGCGACCGTGACCGTCGGTACCGTGCCCGTCAAGGATGCAAAGTCAGACGTGATCATGGGAAGGTTCCCGAGGTCGTACAAGAAGGAGATTGTCCACGTGTACCCTTTGTTGGGGTCCATATTGGATCGTACGACGTTGACGCCGTGGATCGTCGAGAGAAGCTCAAGCGCATTCTTCATGCCCGGCGCATCAATGTCATAGGGCAGGTACCCCGTTGATTGACCTTTGAATTGCAGCGAGAACGAGCCCCCGAGTATGCTGGACGTGCCAAGTTGCACCGACGCAACCGTAAGTGTGTCGGTACCAGCGGTCGCTGTCGCCGCGTACACCCCCGACGTTCCGACATTCAAGAGCGGGAGATTGCCGGCGTTAGTGTTGAACGTGATCTGCCACGTACACGTTTGCTTGGCGCCCGCGGTCGCGGTCACCGTGACGCTGCCAATGTTGGCAAGCTTCTGCAGCTCCGTCTGAATGATTTGGATCGTGCCGTCGCGGATCGTCGTCACGGCAACTGTATCGTCACCAAGTGTGGCGCTGCTAAGAGGCGCCTGGCCGTTGACGACTACCGCGAGCGGCGCCAAGTTGCCCGGCATGTTGGTGAACGTCACTTGCCACTGACACGCCTGCGTCGCCAGCTGCGCGACCGACGACACAACAATCGGGGCGCCCGTGAGTCGCTGCAACTCGGATGTGATCGAGGTCGCGCCCACTGCACAGTCACCGGTATTGGCGTTGGCAAAGATCGGGTTCGACAGCAACGTGGCGCCGGCGTTCGATGTAAACGCGAGCTGAAACGAGGTGAGCGAGGACACCACGTTGTCGCCGCCCGCGGCCGTCGTGTCGATCGTCGACGTTGTAATTTGCTGCACCTCGGTGTGCGTCGGCAGGCACGTGCCGTCACCCATGGGGTTGGCCGGGATCGGCCCCGTCGTCGTCGTCGCGCCGTTGTAGACAAACTGAAGCCGGAACATGGTGCTCGTGGCCACGTTAGACCCGGTAGTCGACGACGCCAGGCTCTGGATGGTCTGCACCGTGCCTTCGCGGGTTATGGCAATATCGATTGCTTTGGACGACAGGCCATCGCTACGCGTTTCCGTGAGGTCCGTCGCTTGGGCCGTAAACGCGGAGAGCGCGCCAGCAAGACTCAAGAACGAGACTGTCCACGTGTAGCCGCCTTGATAGTCGGGGCCGCTTCGAGTGACATCAAGCGAGCCAGTGCCGAGGGCTTGCAGTGCCGTTTGCATTTCGGTTACCGTGGCTGCCGCCGGCAACGCCGCAGTCGGCGATCCGTTGTAGAGCAGCTTAAAGGTGCCACCGAGCTGGTTGCCACGCACGGTCGTAGCCACGGACGAGACAGCGCCAATAGCCGAGAATCTCGATGCTGTCGTCATGGTTGGGAGATCACCAGCGTTCATATTGGAGAGAAATGTAATCGACCACGCGTAGCCCTGTTGGTTGTCGGGCCCGGACCGCGTGACGCTCACAGTGTCGACCGTCGGAAGCGCCTGCAGCGCGGTTTGAACGGCGGCGGCGGCGGCGTTGTACGCGATGTTGGCAGTCGTACTTCCACCAAATGTCAGTGTAAAGTACCCGTCGGCAATGACATTGCCCTGCGTCGGGGTCGTCACCTTGACGTCGGCACCGGCGCCGATGAGCGCCGAGCTTGCGACCGAGAGCTGCGGCACGTTGCCCATGGCCGCTGCAAAGGTGACAGACCACGAGTAGCCACCTTGCGCGTCGGCAACCGACCGCGTCACGCCCGTGATGCCGGTGGCGCCAATGTTGGCCATGGCACCAAGGATCTCTTTCACGCACGATCGATCGCCAGTCTCACCCGCCGTGTAGCCAATGACGCCCGACAGCTGAATCGATCCGCCCGAGCTCGTCGTATCGAGTTGCAGCGTGAAGCCGCCACCGAGTGTCTGCCCCGGCGCCGCCGACGTCGTAATGACCTGAACCTCCTGCACGGGCGTGGCGGTGGTCGTGACGACCTGCACCGCATCGATATCTTGGGCAGAGGTCGTGATCGTTTCGACTTGGTTGGGGCCCGTAAACGTGGACGTCGTTATGGTTTGCACCTCTTGGACACCCGGATTCGGGTCCCAGTCGACCTACAGAGGCGATGATATTCGCGGGACGTAGATGCGGAACGGACCGCATAGGCAGAGATGCCAGAGCCGCCATCAGTGGCAGGCGGCTGAAAGGCCACGAGCACTGTCTCTTCACTTTGTACAACCAGCTGGACGCTGGTAGGCGACGATGGCACTAGCATCGACGTTTGACGACCGGGTCGAGCTGGCAGGGGTACCTGTCTGGGCGAGAACGAACCAGGCAGCGGTAGCAAGCAGAAGCCAGAGGCAGCGAGCTTGGGCGCGGAAGCGCCATGGGACCACCATTGAGGGTCTCGACAACCCACGGATTCTGGTGTACTGCCAAGCGTCGTCGATCTTTCGTGGCTACAGCGCTTCGATTGGTCAAAACTAAAACGGTGGAAGATCCAGCTCGAGGGATTTAGCCAATCATACAAAAGTGAGAGCTTGAAATACGGTGTACCCACCCAAGCTCTCAAAATCGATCACCGTCGTCACCAGAGTACGCCAGCAGTCTGTTGCACACCTAGGACTACAGCCACGAAATTGTGCAGCCTCCTATCGTACGTGGCTACCCCAATATGAGCTCAGCACTCTCCAGGTACGTCCCAATCCGTTTCTAGGGTACCCACCGGCCTACGGATCCAGTGGGTACCCCTAAAACACTGAAAATGGGGTCCTATAATACACCGACACGAGGGTGGACCCCAGAACACGAGACTTCAGCGAGGATGCTCTTCCTGGCGGCGCTCGTACTCTTCCTGGTGACATCGCTGCTAGTCGTCATCGTCATCTTCTGCGCCAATGACACGAGGTATTGCATTCAACAAGCGGCTGCATCGCGATGGCTCTTCCTGCGTAGCGACGGTGTCATGGGGCGCCTCCATCGATGGCTGCTCAACGACGTGCCCAACGCGCTGGGGTAGCTCTGCTCTCGCCTGCGCAGCTAACGTTTCAATGCTGTAGCGATGCGATCTTGAGCCTGTGCGGCGAACGCGCCCATCGTCAAGTGATAGCCACCGTGCAGTACGTGCTCTACGAACGCAATCCGCTCATGCAGGTAGGCCTTGCGCCTTGTACCGTCGTCGTGAACGACCAACCATAGATGGTCTACCTCTTGCTCGTGGGCGGCGGCTACGGCCTCTTTCTCATTTACGGCCAACCGCTGATTCCCAACGTCTACCTCGCCCCGCACCACACGTAAGTACGCGTCCACGCTGCGATGCGCTCACGCGGCGCGTAGGATATGCGTCCTGTTCCTTGCGACAGCCGCGCTCTGCACCTTTTTCCAAGCCTGCTCGACGTCTGCTGGCATCTTGAACGAGCGTATTTGGCCCGTTCCTGGTAGCATCATTCACTATACTATCGCGTAGGCACGTCGCGATGGCATGATCATTACCCGTTCGACGGCGTCATGTACAAGAAGGACAACACCTGCAGCACTTGCAAGTGCATCAAGTACATACGATCTCTTGACGCTTCCGGCGCCAAGGTTTTGATCGAAGGAATATATGTATGGTGCAGGCTCGCTCGTTCCAAGCACTGCACGGTCTGCAACGTCTGTGTCCCGCGCTTCGACCACCGTTCGTCGTCCATGGCCGTCATATATAGATGCTCATGTCTGCCGTAGACTGCGGTATGCTGCTCGCAAGATGGAACCGCAGTTCTAGTCATGATCCCAGGGTGCTCAATGCATGTGTGGGCGAGCGCAACTACAAGAATTTCCTTGCCTTCATCATCGTACATCTCTCATATCGCTTCATCCAGGATGGACTCACGGACATGCGTGCTAGACCAACGCTTGCTTTCTTGTCTACGGCGCTTATGTGCTGACTTGCATCCTACTGAGCGAAGTCTATCTCTTCGTTGCCGAGCGATTTGCACAACTTGACGTGCGATAGGTGGTCAACCTGCAGCTCTTCCAGTCGCAGTTTGTCGACCAGACGACCGGTGCGCCGACGAACGCGACGACGTTTATCGTGTTTCGCTACATGCTGCACATCCATCCGGTCAACATGATGCTCCTCTTCATCTGCGTCGTCATGGGTGCGCGTCATTGCTTGGTCAAGTGATGGACAATGTGTCTGCTGTAGGCGCGGCCCTGACATTATTTTCGCTCTTCCACCTGCGTCTGGTGGCGCAGAACCGAACGACCAACGAGTTTTTCAAGTACTGCAAACTCGTGCGTATCTCCAACGCGCGAACGTATGACGCGTTCATAGGCAACGCAGCGTGCGCACCGCACCACGCGACGCCTACACGCTCGAGTCGCTGTGGGCCAATGTCGCCGAGGTTCCGCGCTTCACGTTCGGATGCAACCCTCAACGTCGTGTTCGTAGGTGCTCTTCCCTGTTTGCGACCAGCGCCTCCAGAAGGCGCTCGACCTCCACCACGCCAAGGCCAAGCAAGAGTAAGCACCAAGCAACAACATGGCATCTTACTCGTCGAGTGGTAACGCAGCGACCCGGGATGGCATGGACTCGCGCACCGACCGAACGCGCGCCGGTGTCACGTACGCTATCAAAGACTCGGCGGGCGTTGAGCCGTGCGAGACAAACCGGCGACTGATCCACTCGGCCGTCAAGCACGCATAGAGACCGCAGTCGAAGCCGTTGGTTTGCTGGGCACACGCCATGGCTTGGATATTGGCGGTCGCCGGGTCTCGGCCGAGCGCGAGCAAGAGCACGCGTGCGAGCTCGTGGGCGCTGTTCAAATTGTGGTTGCTGCTCGAGTCGTAAAATTCAAAGGCGTTGGTCGCGCGACGGTAGACGAGAAGTGCCCAGTGGCTGCCCTGCGACGCAAAGCTCGATCGGTCGTTCACGGGCAGAAGAAGAAGCGCCTTGGCGTGCAGATCGAGGCCGTTCGCAAGGTCGGCCAAGTCCTCTTGATCGTCACACTAGGCAAAAGCGCGTCGCAGGGTTGCATCGGCATGGTCGTACCTGGAGCAGCATGCACGACGCAACCGCCGGGTCCATGAGGAGGACGTCGTCTGCGCTGCCGCACATCTCATGGTGGATCATCGTCAAGTAGAAGTGCATGGCAGCGTCATTGAGCCACTGGTTCCGTGGGAAGAGCGCCAGGTCCCGCTCGTAGAGCTGCGCGTCGTGATACCGGATGGCCATCCCAAGCACGTTGAGTTAGACGCTGCGTTCGACACTGAGTTAGACGCGTATGTTAGGTTTGTTATACCACAACAATGGTTAACACTATTTACGAAATATTTGGTGTTATCGCGTCCCACTCACTTCAATAGTGTGGATCGAAACTCGAACTATGTAACACTATTTACGAAAAATGACACATCTCGGTTTCAAGTGGCACTGCGTAACCAGCAAGCATGGACAGCGCTCCATCGGCCTTGCAGGCGGTGGCCCTTGCCGCCGCGCGAGACGACGTCGCCGATGACAATATCCAAGAAGCTTTGCCAGAGACAAAGGAAACGCCGCATGTACCGGCGCCGCCTGCGGACGACCCGGTCGACGACCTCTTTGGTAGCGACGATGACGAGCCGTCCAAGCCCGCCGAGCGCGTCCTTGCTCCTCGCCCGACAAGTCTCGTCGACGTTGCCAAAGAGTCGAGTGGTACTCGACCGTCGTTGCTGCAAGTCGCGCAGCAAGACGTTTCGCAGCGCGCACCGAGTCTCGTTGCCGTCGCCCGTGACGGCAGCAGTCGCAAGAGCCTTATGGACGTGGCCGCCGAGTCCACCGCAGCCGCGCGCTCGAGCCTCATTGAAGCCGTGGCCAATACACCATCCGCATCCGAGACGCTTCTCGGCGTGGCCAAGACGGTGCAGTTGCAACACCAATCGACGATTGCGACGGTGCTCGGCAAGGTTGCCGACGACGACCGACGCGCAAGCGACCGGCACATTACGCAGACGCTTCGCGCGGCCGCGACCGAGGTGACGACGCAGCGTCACGTGGATGCAGGCGCGACGCTGGCAACGGCGGCGGCCGAGGTCCGCGCCGACCGCGCGTCGTTTGCGTACAACCACTCGGACGCCAAGGTCGACGTCGCCGTCGACATACTCGTACGCCAGCCGACGCTGTCGCCCAAGAAAGCGCCGCAACGCGTCGTCAAGTCCGTCGACCGCGCTGTCCTTCAAAGTCGTCAAAGCCACGGACTCAAGCACTCGGGACCGCTCCTCAAATCTCGGAAAGACCAGCTCTCTTCGTACCAGCACGACCATTTGACCGCAACGCAGAAGCGGCTCTTGTATGCAACGCTCGTCGAGCACAAACCGCCGTCCAAGCGAGGTACGTACATCTACCCGATGGCGGACAATCATGTCCATCATGCGCATGTGATAGACAACCAAACGCGCATGGTTTAGCTCGCAAACGACGAACCGATTTCTCCACGAAGCGTTGTGTAGGCGGCAATCGAGCGCATGGCGACCCCCATCAAGCCAAAGTAGACCGCATCGTATGGACGTAGATCACGGTCATGCGTAGACGCTTGCTCGGGAAAGAAAAATACGCGCGCGAAGACGACCGCAAGCACTGCCGGTTCAAACCCCGGCTCGGCCGCGGGTCGCACGAGTCGGGCGGACGCAGTGACGACGACGACGAGACCGACAACCAGGATTTCATTCGGCGCATGGAAGCCGCTGAGAAGGCCAAAAACGAGGTGCAGTCGCAGCGTCAACAAGCATGCCCATGTACTACTTACGTCATCTAGTCGATTCGACGCAACCGCGAAGAGCGCGCGTACATTGCCCAACTCGACAAAAAGGTGGTGTTCCACATTATCCCCACGGATGGAATCTGGACGATGACGCAGGAGTGCCCCAAGTGCGGGAACCTCCAGTCCTATTCGGAGGTCAAGCAAAAGCGCAAGCAGTGTCCCAACTGCGGTGTCGCGTACCGGTCCCGCATGGCGTGGGGTGATGTCGAGTCGGATTTCTTCACGCGCGTCTCGGACTTCGAGTCCCATAAAGCGTCACGGCGTGTACAAGTGGCAGCAGCGACCACCCCACCTTTCGTGTGCTGGAGCGGCAAGGTGCTCGACCCGCAGACGCACACGATCACGACCCAGCGTCTCCGGCCCCTCACCTGGGTATATCGAATGGAATTGCTGTCATTCTACCGCTGACCTTGCGTCTAGAAGGACGTCGAGGCCGATTTTCTAGGGCGTGTGCAGCTGGACGAGATGAACCGCATTCTGGTAGACTTTTTGCCGTCGCGATGCTGCCATGGATAGCGATCGTCACCGTGTAGAACCGAGAGGAGCTCGAGCGCGAGTTCTATGGCTCATTTACGTTCCACCCGAGCATTACGCCCCACGCCAAACGCGTACACTGCGATCGGCAATCGTGTCGAGGCGACGTGGAGATGCACCTGTAGATGACGTATGCGCGCTTTGAAGAGCGCATGCAGCGAGACATTGACGACCGAGCGAGTCGTCTTGCCCAGGTACAGAGCACACCACATTGAAAGTTATGTTCATGGCGTTCTCGCAGTACGAGCTGCGCGCCAAGCACGCGCTGTCGTACGAGGTATGATGGACACGAAGAAACAAATGGCTGTATTCCAAAGACGGTTTTAATGGTCGAGAATGCGGAGGTTGCCTGTCACGACCTTGTCTTCGAGGATCGTGCCGTCGGGGAGGTCGATCTTGCACCCTTCGTTGGCCACCAAGATGACTGTGCCCTACACAGCGTTCGATCGAGGATGGAATGTGGAGGAATTACCTTCAGCGTAATATCGCTGCCAAACTTGACATCGCCGGCGACCGTGAGGTGGTCGAGCTCGAGAATGTTGGGGATGCCACGCTCCAGACGCTCGGCGTACTGCTGCGCCGTCTGGAACTCGCGGCCGAGCTTGACGATCGGGATCGTCGGAAGCCCCCGGCTCGGGTTCATGAGCAGACTGCCGTGCTTGATCTGGTACAAGTTGGACTGAACAAGGAACAAGTCGGAGGACGACTTGACGGGCAAGAAGCGCAGTCGAGGGACTTGGATGCCGATGAAATTTTTGAAAAACTAAAAGTGCGAACATGAGCTGCAATCGCCAAGGAAAGCGGCACCTGAATCGCACCACCGGCAGCCGTCTCGAGCTGCACGACCTTGTGGTTGCGCACTGTGCGGTAGCTCACAATCGGGTTGATGTCGATGACGTCCTGCGCGACCATGCGCTGGATCGCGCGCAGATTGACCCAGAGGTTGTTGGTGTTGAACTTGGTAAATTTGTGGAGCGAGCGAAACTCCTCGAGGTGCTCCGTGGGCACTTGGTTGACTTCGAGCAAGTGCGGCTTGCCCTTGTACGTGACGAGCGTGCCACCTTGGACATCGGCCCGCGTCTTGTCCGTCACCTCCATCATGAACTCGGAATCGACGTTGATCATGTGGTACAAAATGTCGAGGTTCACGGTCGCGCCAAGGTTGTCGACGTTGGAAATGAAAATGTACTCCTTGCCCTACACCATCATATCCGCGTTAGACGGCAATCGTCTCCAACTCTCGCACCTGGTTGATGAGGTTTTCCAGCAACCCAGACTCGAAGAGCGCGTTGTAGACATCCCCGTGGCCCGGTGGGTACCTGTACATCGGTCGTTCATTGAGGACAGAGGGTGATCGCCGACGAACCATTTCTCCTGCGTCGCCTTGTCGTACTTGGCCGACGGCAGCGGTACGGCCGACTCTTTGACGACAAACGGGTACGAGCTCTACAGCATCAAGACGGTGATTGTCGGCGTGTGTCAATGGTAGCAAGTAGCCGATAGTACCTGGTTGAACGTGTGGATGCTCAGGTTGTGCATGCGGTACTTGCGGATGATGCGGACCGTCTCGTCGTGCGTGTTGAACGAGTTCATGAGCACGAGCGGCACGTCGACGCCGTAGAGGCTGTTGAGGTACTACATGATCGCGTGCGTGTATAGAGGACGCATGGGTCGGAGCTCATCGTTACCTCGACTTGCCGCACGGTGAGATCCAAAAACGAGAGGTCTTGGCGCACTTCGATAGCGCTCTTGGGGCCTTGGCAGCCCATGGTCGTGCCGAGACCACCGTTGAGCTTCAGGATGACCTACCCGAGATAATGAGACGGTATAGCTAGGCCAGCGCCATGTACGAGCTTGTCGAGAAGCTCGTGCTTCAGGCTCGCGTCGTTCGGGCACACTTCGACCGTCGCGCTGTTGGTGACCATCGTGTCGGTCGGCGGCGACACCGACTTCCTACGTCGTTGGCGACGCCATGAGCGTATCATCGTGCACATGCATGCGAGTACCAGTCGATCGGGCTCTTCTTGTTGGAGCAATACTTGCGGAAGAGCTTCATGAAGCCCTTGCGCGAGCGCGGGGCCATGATCTCGCCCGCGGCCAGCGCCTACATCGCATGAGCCATGGTCGCCATGGCGCCACGTCTACCTCGGACATCTGGTCTTCCACCGAGAGCCGCCCCGGCGCATGCGTCTTGTACTGGATCATCCTGCGGCTTGGTCGGTCCAAAAGTCAGTGAAGTTGGACGCGATCACGTCGCCGGATACAAGCCGGGTGCAAACAGGTGGCGGCTTTTTTATCCGGATGATGGCGCCAACTGCGATGATCGACGGTGGTGGCGGCAACGACGAACGAACCGACCGGCGCGGCCGAGGTCGCGAGCCTCTACCTCGAGAGGCAGCACGCCTTGAAAGCTGTAGCGAATGCCTCGAGAGCGATGGCGCCGTGCAGAGTCACCCAAGAGCTAAGTCGGCGCATGTCACAGCCCTGCGATGGTTGCTGCTACGCGCCCGTACAGTAGGACGCCAGTCGCCTCGCAGAGCTCGAGCATCTCTATGTGAAGGCGCCTAAACAAGCGCGAAGGCGAAGTCAATTTCCCTAAAGTGTTCTACGAATGGCAGCTGCAGCGCTCGCGTCGCGAGACGGTGTTGCGAGATGGCGACAGGTTGACCTGATGGGCAACACATCTCAACCCGTGCACGGAGGTTCTACCACTCGAGATGATGTCCATGCTACTACTATTATACATGTACTAGCAAGTGTATTACATGGTGGGGTGACGATAATATTTGGAGCTGTAGTCGCTAGTTAGTCTACGACACGAGAACGAGGGCAAGATCGTGCGGTCTATTGCGACGGGGGAGTATGGAAGCGAACGTCCGCCACAAGCGAAATGTGGTCGGATGGAAAGACGCTCGAGGGCAAGGACTTTTCGTGCCCGGCGACGTCCAGCGAGAAGAAGGGCAGATGACTCGTCGGCGTCAGCGTCTCCGTGTCCACAAGAATGTGGTCCAATGTCCCAATGAAGGTAAATTCGTGGTTCTTGACGAAATGCGTAAACTCGGGCGACCCGCACGCGCTGCCGAGGCTCAACTTGTGCGTGAGCGCCTCTGGCATCGTCTCCGGCCACGGTGTCGGCGTCATCACCTCGTCGGCGCTCCACTGGAACGCCGCGGCTTCTTGCCAATGCCGGTGGTCCGACCCAATGGACCCGCGCAGGAGAAACTGGGCGGGAATCGCGTCTGGCAGCGCATTGAGATCGCCCGTAATGACGACGCTGACCGGCACGCCGTCTCTCGCTTCAACGTCGGCCTTTTTTTGCTCGAGAAACCGCGTCATGAGCACGGTCTGGACGAGCCGGACCGCGTCCGCGTCATGACGAAAGAAGAGGTGCGTGTTGGCCACGAGCACGGTGCGAGCGCCATGCACATGGCGCAACAAGAGCACTTGGGCAACCGACGGGACCGTGCTGACTGCGAGTGCGACCTGCGGGTGCGCGTTCAGAAAGTGCTGCAGCGGCGACGTCGCGTCAATCTCTTTGAGCGCGTTGGCAAAGCCCACCACGGTGGCGTCTTGGAGCTGCCACTTGGCCGTGTTGAAGAAGACGGCGCAGCCTTCGGGCGTCGTGCCGGCCTTGCCCGCATAATGCCCGTCAAAGCCGTGGGCACGCAAGAGCGGTAAGAAGTACGCGTGGAAGACGCCATGGCCCATCTCTTGGGCGCAAATGAGGTCGGCGCCCGTCTCGAGCATCTCGAGCGCGATGAGCGGCAGCCGGTATTTGTCAAAGAGGATGCCGGGCTGGGCGTGCGGGTACATGCGATTGTACGCGCGGTCGGCGCGGGCGTACTTGGCGTACAAGATGTTGTAGGACATGATCCGAAAGGCGTCATCCGCATCGGGTGCGGGATGTGCGAGGCGCGCAGCGAACGCTGACCGGTCCGGCGTTGGCACGACGTTTCCGGTCGTCGTCGTTGAAAGCGAAGCACTTGTGGGCGCTTTGCACGTGACCTGGAGACGATGGCCGACGTCGTCGCTTGTCGGTGTGTACACAAAGGAGCTGCCGACAACGACATGTTCGTTGGTGGTAGACACTCGCGTCCACGTCCATTGGCACGCGGTGCGGTCGCAAAACTCGAGGTCGACTGTCGGCACGATCGGGACGCCAACGACGAGGTCGTACTCGGTGACATGCAAAGCCAGTAGCGCCGGCTCGTTGAGCACAATGGCGTACGTGTCGTCTTGGATCTGCAGCGTCGCGGCGCATGGCAAGACGTCGCAAAGCGGTAGCGTCGGCGAGAGCGGTGCGCCGTCGCGATCGCAAAACGCGATCGATGTCGTGGCCTTCCCGAGGGCTTCGTGCACCTGCTTGAGCTTGGTCTTCTTGCCTTGCTTGAACTGCTGCTTGGACATCGGCGGGTGCAAGAGGCGGTCGATCCGCACGAGAATGCGGCTAAGCTCTTCCGTTGGCTGGCGTACGAGCTGCCGCTCGACGCCCAAGAGCGGAAACCTGAGCGTGATTGCATCACTGCCGCAAACGTAGCGCACATGCGCCGTCAGCGTCGACGTCGAAGGACCCATGCTGGCCATCGTTCTCACTTGAAGTATGGATCGGCGGAGGATGGTCGATCGATCGGCGGCGCCACTCAGCACGGTGCGAGAACGTGGAGCGTGATGCTGATGAGGTAATCACCACGACCCTTTCAGTGATTGGCCACGCTATCAACACGCAACTTTTCGCCACCTGGGAGCATGCCGGGCTCGGCCAACGCCCGCAGCTCTGGGAAATCACCGACAAGCAGCGCCTCGAGGTCCTTCGCCTCACAGCCCCCAAAGAGTGCTCACTACGCGCCATCGCCCGGCGATTTGGTGTCACTGACAAGGCCATCCGCAACCTTGTTCGGCAAAAGGACGAGATCCTTCGCCGGACACGTGGCGTTCGTGACGACCGCCTCGCCGCAACCCGACGCTACAATGCGGGCGCCTATCCAGAACTCGAGCAAGCGTTATATGCGTGGCTGCGACACATGCGCAGCCTCCACATCGGCGTGCCATCGTCGCTCGTCCTGAGCAAGGCCCAAAAGATCGCCCTTTCGCTCGACCCGCCACTCACAACGTTCAAGGCCTCGCCTGGCTGGCTCGCCAACTTCCACAGACGCTACGACATGGACGGATAGGACCGAGAGAGAGGAGGTTGTTTTTTATTTGTGCGGTGTGCTCGGTGTAGCCTCGTTGTCGAGGGCATGGTTAATGCATTCGCTCGTCGTCGGTGGCACCACTAAGCTAGAGGCTAGTGCTCTTCACGTGAAGGCGCTACGTACTTCACACTTCAACCAAATTGCGTGAACGACGTGTCTGCAATCACCATGAGCTATGACACGTCCAACGATAGAATGGTAAGTGACCTAGCCACCATGCAGCTGCGTGCGCCAATGCCAAGAGGATTTAGCCGTTCTGAGATTCTGCAGCGTGCGGACGCCGATCCCTGCACCCGGCTTCTTGTACGTGCTACTACACTACTACCTCAAAGCATACATTATTGCCGGGAATGGAACAGTGCTAGTGCAGAACGCACTTGACGTTGAGCACGCGCCAGCAACGCCGGTCGAGCACGCCGACGTAGACCAAAGCAACCGATGACAATGGGCTACCCAGAACTCGTGCTACACGCTTGGTCTGGCGTGCATCCAATCGCGACTCTGCATGCTCCAAGATCCTTGTTTGTCATGGCTACTGGCAGATCCACCAGATCTGCCGGCGCCACCGTCGTGTCCATTGCTTCCCTCGACGAAGTATTGCGACGTCCTCTGCACTCGTCTTTGTTAATGCGCATTTTATAACGTTCGTGTTCGCTCCCATTCGCCCGGTCGTCGAGTTGTTTACTCTTTGGCCTCGCGGAAGAATCGCTTGGGCAGCGTTGCTTCAAAGGCTCGGTGCCAATCGCCGTGGTTGGCGACTTCCATGAGCGCCAGCAGCACCGTGTCGATGTTGAGCACATGCGATCGAACAGAGCACGTCTCTTGCACGGGCAGGCGCGCCGTCGTAATACGGTGGACACCCGCGGCTTTGGCCATGGTCTCACTCTATACGCACGGCTACAGTCGGCGAGCGCTTGCCTAACAAATCTACCTTGCGGACCGTGCGATCGACGATCCCACCGACGACGTAGACGGTTGCTGGGTCCAGCTCCGTGAGTACGTTGGGCGAGTCGGGCGACAAGAGGACGATCGTGTCGCCCGGAAAAAGCTCTTCTATTGGGGCGGCATGGCGCGTCACCTAACATGCAGACTCAGCGACCCGAGGGCGCACGCGATCCAACCTTCCATGCGCTGGCACCGCGCTTGTCACAGAGCGCAGCAATGTCGCCTTCGTACGACGCGAGGTGGAGCGAGAGAAGAGATGGGAGTTCGCTCTTCTTCATCGCACCGTACACGCAAGCCACTTGTTTGATGACGCTGTGGCGTTCCTAGTCATGTCCGAGTCGATGATGGCATGCAACATAACGCCATCATCAATACGCGCGGTGTTTGGTCGCGTAGAAAGCTCAGGTCGACGACGACGCGGAGGCCTGTCGCCATGGCGTAGTTGAGCTTGTCCTAGACGCCGCCATTGAGGGTACTGTGCAAGTTGAAGTGCCAGCGAACCCACCTCGAGCTGGGTCTTGGCGAGCTGCTTTTGCGCAATTTTGGCATCGTACCGCATCTGCTTTTCTTCTTGGGTGATACACTCGTCGTGGGCTTTGTACGAAGCTTGGCGCTCAGCCTCGTGCTGGAGCTTCTTGTCTCTTCGGCGGGCGTCGATCGCGGCGCGGCGATGGTCGATGCGCTCTTGCCGGCGCTGTTGCTTGGTGCGCTTCTTCTGCGCAGCAACCTCATCCGAAGCGTCTTGTACCCATGCGACGATCGTGGCGACGACGAGAACAGCGCCAACCCACGCCGCCACGGTCCACGGACTCTGTTGCATCGCTGGATTCTGTTGTTGGTCCCGCCGGAATGCAAGCTCAGGTACGAAAATCACGCTATTCGATGCATTCGATCCACGTTACACGTCAAACTGCATACGTGTTTGCATATTGTATGCTCAATGTGACAGCTCAGATCGGCACGAGATGCCATTGGCTCGTGGGAGCTTCGAAATTCTGTGCTTGAAGTGGGCAAAACGTGCGTATTTAAATACAAACGATTCGAGTGTACTTGATATTGGTATGCCAGCGATCGCAGGATCCATGAATTAAAATGGACACCACTCGGGGCAGTCTCAGTTTGCCGATTTTTGGCCCGATGGCGGCGATCCCGCGGTCCAACCTCACGGACGCCGAGAGCGAGCGCAGCCCGCTCCTCCGCGCCATGCGCAACTCGTTCCAGGAAGACTCGCTGTACCAGTCCATGTCGAATCCCAACTATTTATCCACCGAGTCGACGACGACGACGAATATGGACGACGCGTACGTCGGGCGCATGCGCGTCTTCCGCCCGATCGTGTATGCGGAGAAGGCGCTCAGCGTGCTCCTCAACAGCGTCATCATCTACGTCTTCTGCTGCATCTTGGGCCTCGGCCTCATCTGCATCAACGCCGACGGCGTCCTCGGGCCAGGCCGCGGCTGGAACTGGTGGCTCGTCTTCCTTCCGTTCTGGATCGGCAACGCGATTCTGCTGATCGCGCACTTTCTCTCGATGCGATCGGCCACAATGCTGCGCCAATGGGCCGAGACCGACTGCATGTCGAACGAGCCGCTGCTTCCGCTCCTGCGCAAGATCCTCCTCGTCTACGCCGTCTCGGTCCCGCTCACGGCCTTTCTCCTCTGGAGCGAGCTCGCGTTTTGCGCCATCATGAGCGACATGACGTACCGGTCGACGTCCGTCTACTTTGCGTTCACACCCATCCTCATCATCGAAGCCGCGTACATCGTGCGGTACCTCCTCTGCAAGGCGAAAAGCACGCTCCCGGTATACCGTCGTGTACCTTCCATCTTCTCATGCCCGCTTGTGTAGGGCTGCAGCTGGGTCCTCGCGTTCGTGTTTACGCTCATGCTCGCGTTCAATGCCGACCTTATCCACCGCCGCAACCCCGAGACGGAGACGCTGCCGGGGGACCTCCTCCCTTGGTTCACTGTCTTTTGCCCGATCTTTGTCTGGGAATTTCTCATGTTTGGCTCGCTTCTCATCGTGCTCTACTCGCAAGCGGCGGGCTACTACAACATGGCGTCGTCGCAGCTGACAGCCACGGTGCTCTACACACTCGCGCTCGCCGCCGGCGCGATTGGCCACGTCATGCTGCTCGAGCATATGGAGCTCGAGTCGACGTCGCTGGACGTGCCATCGATCCTGTTGTTCTCGGCGTGGGTCACGGGCAGCCTCGCGCTGTACATCATCTCGCGTCAAGAAATGGCCAAGCTCATGGCGTCGCGCGGCGGCGCCGTGCCCGTGCCTCTCACGCGCACCGACCACGGCTGGGTGACCAACCACGCGGTCACCGACCAATGGATGCTCCTTGGCGACATTCCGCTCACGTCGTCGGGCCTCGAGCAGCGCGGTACGCGCAAGCGCACATCCAGCGACATGGAGAGCGATCTCAACTCGCAGGGCTGGCTCTGGGTGCGCCATTTGCTCGGGTCGCGGCTCTGTTCGTGGTGCTGCTGCCTCGCGTCGCGCCCAATGTCGTTTGACGCGTCGTCGCCGAGCGAGCACCCGGAAGGCCGTCTCAAGAACGTCAAGCGGAAAAATTCGGGTAGCTACAGCGATCTGCACCTCGACGTCGTCGATACCAAGTAGCAATCGAGAGTATCCCATGCTTCTTTCTTTCGTCGTGGATCTCGAAGACCGTTTTAGAAAGGGTGAACACTAAGATCGAAGAAACTTATTCTGACGTGAACCGGTCGACGCCGTTGGATCTCTCTTTGGTGGTGGTCGCGTGTTTCTGACCGATGTAGTATGTGAAATCAGTCACTCGACGCCAACGGCAACCCAGAGCAGAGAACGTATTTTAAGTTGTTAAGTTGTTGTTCTTGGTCGTCGTCGGGGCTACCTTGTCAATGGCACAGTCAGCATCGAAAGAGAATGGTATGGGAGGAGGCCAAGTAGCCAAGTCCGCTGGCGACGGAGGATGCTGGTTCCCACAATCACTTAAGAGCACCCAGCCTCGGGACGGCAAACTCGGCGGCCAGTTCGATTCGAACTCATCGCGATCTCACGCCGCGGAATGTACGTACGATGTTCTTTTGTACAGCGCCGTACAACCCTCCTGCAATGCGTATTGGCCCTTCCTGTGCAATCCTACCGCCTTGCGCAAGGGTCAGTGGTGTACGAGGAGGTCTTTCTCGTGCGGAGAACGATGTGGGAGCTCGCCCTAGCGATCGCACGCATGTACGTGTACGAGAATGTACGGCAGTTACTTGATTGTTGGACTTTCCAGCGTCCGGTTTCGATGTTTTTTCATTTTCGAGATCTTCCATGGTTCGCGAGCTTGCCGACTGCGTACAATCCAAAATGGACGACCAGCGCGACCTCTTTCTCGACGTGGCGCTCGAGCCTGCCGCGCCGCTGCACGTGGCCGTCTCGCGGGCGTACGCAGAGAAGTACAATAACATCGTAAGCAGCCCGACCTCGGTCGCCGACGACATACCGAGCATCGTCTGTCTCGGCTGCTACACGCATGGCACCAAGGCCATGCGCGACCTCTGTGTGCGCCAAGCGTTCTTGACGCAAGACTTACTAGCGTACCACCACTTGCATGCGGGTAGCGACGGCAACGGCTTTGCAGTGCAGCTCGTCATGACCAACGTCGTGCCCTGGGCGCACGTGGACGCCTACAAAATGCTCGTCGAGCAGAGCGTGGCTGAAGTTGAAGGTGTCTTTGGCGGCCAAGCGCGCACGTACGCTGACGCAGGCGTCGCCGCGTGCAAGGCTGACTTTTTCTGCGGCATTGTCTGCCACTTTCCATCCCTCCAAGCGTGCATCTCGTGGATGTGCTGCGCCAACAACGCCGAGCTCAAGCTCGGTTGTCCGACGTTGACGCTGCAAAAGGCAACGTTCACGCTCATTCCGGTCCCGAACGACGTGCCGCACCTCGACTCGTCCGCGTTCGACCCGATCCTCGGCAGCGCGAGCCCTACGTCCAGCGACGAAGTGTGTTCGATCTCGTACGAAGAGTGCCTCGAGTTTGCACTGCTCGATATGGAAGACTGCGAGACCGAGCCCGAGTCGCACTGCAGTCTCTACAGCTACGTTGGCATGATCGAGTACCACGACAGCGGCGTGCCCGAGAACGCGGCGATTGTGCCATCGATCACGATGGCGACGTTCATTGACGGCCATGGCATCCCGCTCGCCTTCAAGTCGCTCTACTACCGCAACAACAAGAAGGGCGGGATTCGCAACATGCGGTACTGTACGATCGGGAAGGAACAAAGGGTGCTAAATCACACGTGCTAGGTGTTTTCCGCAGTGCAAGCGCGGGGCGCACACAACGACGAGCTTTTGTGGCGACCTCCTTCGGCTTCAAGTCCACTTCAACACCGAGACGCGGCCCCGCATTCTGGGCTTTGCCCGTTTTCGGAGCGCAATGGATACCGCGCCACCGCTCCGGGCCGGCATGGAAATCGACGCGCGCATGATCACGGACCACCTCCGATCCAAAGAGTCGCCCAAGGAGATGTGGATGCAAACAAAGCCGGTTGAGTTCGTATCGCCGACGCACGTCGTGTACGAGATCCGCCCGTCCGAGCGCACGCTGTCGTGGCACTACGGCTTCCACGGCGGCAACGCGCAGATGCAGAAGAACCATACGCACTTCCTCGAAATCGGCTTTTTCATCGAGGCAGGCGACGGCCGCCTGCGCTGCATTGGCGCCGCGCAGACGCCGCAGTTTCGCGTCGCGTCTAGCCGCACATGGGTCAAGGAATAGGGTTTTGGTTGTTTGTAATTGTGTGCGTTGAAAAATGAGCTACGTGTGTGTTAAGGTGAGCCTGTTATTCTGCGGCGTCGACGGGGGCCTCATCGCCCATCGGATCGTCTTCCTTCTTGGTCTCGTCGTCAACATCAGGCGACGGCAGCGGCGACGCTTCGATCTCAACCGGCGTCTCTGCCGGCTTGCCCAAAACACTCTTGACGATGGCCGAGACACCGTCGACGGCCTTGTCCAAGTGCACGATCTGCGTTCGCATGCAGCTGCGCATGGTCTTCCAGCAAATCATCTACCACCGACAGTTGAGCTTCAACAGCTTCATGGCGCCGCGCACCTTGTCGTTGTCGGGCCAGTACGCTCGCTCGATGCCATTTTCGGGGTCCCATGCCATCTCAAACTGGTCCGTAAACTCCTTGAGCGGTTTGCACGTTGCTACAATGTGAGGTTCAACGCAGGCATTGCAGACACTGGAGCCTACCGCGGTCAGCCCCGAGGACACTCTGCAGCAGATCGTCTTCCTTGAAGATCCCGTCCGCAATCGTCGGAGCACGGCTCACCTTCGGGCGCTTTGGTGGCGGGATGTCACCGTCACTCGCATCCGCAGGGTCGGGACGCCGCTCAAACTTGGGGCACTTTTCGAGCTTCCATGCAACGTAGTTGCGCTCGCGCTCGAGCACCTCCGTCAGCATCGCGCTGTACTGTTGGCCGTTGACGTTCTTCTCCAAGAGGCGGAAAACACGGTCAAAGCAATCTTCCAGCGACGTCTACCGCGTGGGTTCAATCCCATGCCTTGGAGTATACACGACGTACCTTGCTGGCTGCAGCGGGGACTTTGGACCGTTCGAGATGCCCAAAGAGGATCAACAACTAGGGCCACTGACTCGCAATTTGCAATGTACTGCGTTGCAATACCTGCGTGAGCATGCACTCGCGAAGGACGGGATCGCGCAGCTGCAAGTGAAAGAGTCGGCTGTTGGTCAAGTATTTGGTCTGGAAAAAGTGATCCTTCTCATCGTCCTCGGACTGGGATTGCAGCTCCCGCGCACGGTCAATGTCTTCGTCCGAGAACGGGTTCGACTCGAACGCCGAGAGCACGTCGTCGAGCTGTTGAAACTAGATCAGGGTCAGATCGCAATCGCTCAGCCGTTGTGTGCAACGTACGAGCGTCGTCCACTCGGCATCGCTGTCGGCAACGATCGTCGGGTTGCTCAGGAAGCGCTGGATGTCCCAAAACACCTTGTAGAGCGCGTAGCTTGTTTTGGTCGCTTCTTCCAGCGGCGCCTGATGCATTTAGAAGTGGCTTGAGCCTCTTTGACACGAACGATATATGGACGTTGCGGACCTGTTCCATGGACGCTTCAAATTCCGCTTCGGTCTGGTACTTGGTGACGTTGCTCGTGTTAAACTAGCCAAAGAGGAGATGTGAGCATCCATTGTTGACCGCACAAGGCGTACGCGGCCGAGGAGGTTGACGCCCGAACGCTCCGAGAGCGAGAAAGTGTAGGCGAGGAACATGAGGATGCGGCCGCAGAAGACCGTGTTGTGCGTCTTGGAGAGTCGTCGGAGGAGCGCATTGCACATGCGCAGCAAGCAGAGCGACGCCTTGCTGTTCTTGCCCGCTTGGATAAAGTCGGTCTACATGCACGCAACACCCATCATGGATTGCTGCAGAGGATGGAACGTACGGTCGTGAGGCGGCTGCGGCGGCTCTCGAGAAGACCCCAGAGCTGCTCGCAGACAACGATGGTCTGGCAGTCCACGAGGTCTTCGAGGATCTTGTAGGGCGCGTTGAGCATGAGGTAGCCGCGTGTGGCACCATCCGTGCAGAGATCGAGCAGCGCCGGGATCCCGACCGACTCGAGCGTCGCGTCGCGCTTGCGGTGGAGGTCCCATGCCATCTTTTCGGCCACGCGCTGAATCGCCAGCTCGAGGATCGTGTGCACCTTCTCTTCGAGCTCGTCCGTAGCGATGTGGTCGTCGGCCGCTTCGCTCGTCACGCGCTTGGCGAGCTCACCGAGGCGCGCGGTCGCATCGCTCTTGCGATGGAAGTAGGCGATCTCACCCTACATGCATAGGACCTTTTGGCCTCATCCATGACGGCCATGGCAGGCGTCTACCTGCGCAAAGGTTGCCAGCTCGCAGGCCGTCCGTCGCATGCTGTCGCTTCGAAGTTGCAAGAAAGCAGTGGCAAAGAGATAACGCATCGGATTGGCCAAAACCCGATGAATTTCCGTGCAGAACGGCATCCAATTGGCCTCAATCTATTCTATAGCAACACTTTTCAACCAATCCTACGCTTTAACCTGTGCCCAAGGCTCCATATACCGTGTGCATTTCAAACGCTGGTGACGATGGACCACCTCGATCTTCCGCTCGACCAGCACCTCGAAGGCGTCGACCGCGCGCTGGCGACATGGACCGAGGCCGAGAAGCGCCGCATCGAAGACGCCCAGCGCGCCTGCGTGAGCGAGGTTGCCAAGGATGAGCAGGAGCTGCGCCAGCTGCAAGAGCGCCAGACGTCGCTGCAAGCCAGCGCCAAGACCGCGGAAGCGAACCGCGAACAGCAGAAGCGGTCAATCCATGGCCGAGAACACGAGCTCCGAGGGCTGCAGGCCCAAGTGCTCAAGGTTGAGCCCGTTCTTGCAGGCCTTAAGTCGCGCGAAGCGCTGCATCTGGGCAACGTGGCCAAGGTGAACGAAGGTGCGTTGTGCAGTATCCCGTACCGATCAATCGATGGCCCGCAATTACGTAGAGAGCGCGCGCATGACGCAGGCTCACCAAACGGTGGTGGACGAGCTCATGAAGGGCATCCACATGTACCAGAAGCTCGGCCTCGTCATTGACCGCAAAGGAGGTACGCGCCGGCGTTCGTGCTTTCTCATGTAGAGAGTCCGGTAGAGAACAACCTCGGCTTTGTCTTTACGCAGATCGACCCGCAAAACCCGGAGCGCGAGTTTTCATTTGCGTTGCGCATGCACGAGCGCCAAGATGTGTTTGCTGGTAAGTGGCGCCTACTCGTGCGCGCCTCATGTGTCCCTCTCTAGTCGAACACTGCATTCCGGACGTGGCCGACGCTCCGATGCTGCTCGACCAGCTCAACCAAACCGGCAACATGTCGGCCTTTGTCCGGGCCATGCGGCAGCGCTACAAGAGCTTGGTCTAATACATACTACATCGATACATCCTTGCTAGTCTCTACGTATGCGAACTCTTTGTAAGGAAGATAACGCGAAACACGTTCATATATATATATATATCGATACATCCGCCTACACTAATTAGATGCGTCGTCGCTGGGCCGGCGGCGGCTTTGTCTCGGGCTCGCGTCGGCGCGTCTCTGTGAATGGCATACTTGGTCCGATGGCCGCCTCGATTGGGCGTGGTGCGAGTGTCCGTTCGTACCGCTGCTGGAGCAGCGCCCGACGCTCGTCGAGCTTGGTCCGTGTTTCGCTCGGTGTCTCGTCTTCGGGCGCATACACGATCGTGAGGATGTTGCCGTAGAAGGGCTCACGCACGCCCAGCGTCTTGGCCCGGCGCGCGTGGTCAGTCGTCGCGTAGCGCAGCCAGACAACGTCAAGGAACTCCGTCGCGTCGTCGTGGTCGTCGAGCATCCGGTGCTCTTCAATGGTCCCGTACTTGCTGAAACGAGCGATGAGCTCGTCGCTCGCGCCAAGCGCTGGCACGTTGCGCAGCACGAGGTACTTGGACTCGTCGCTGACGGTATACGCCCTCGGACGCACCTCCTTCCCGAAGCGCGGGTTGGGCTGCCGGTACCGGGGAATGGACGTCGCCATACCTATTGAAAGGTACACTCTATTTCGATGTAACAAGTGCGTGAAATAGTGTGTGTCTTTTCGACAGCACCCTCATGGCCAACTAGCGACCTTCTGGCACGGTGACTGCGCTGGTAAGGGCTCGTGCCATTGCAAAAGACTAGACACAAAGTTTATAATACGCTACGATAAAAATGGGACTCAGAGCAGCGTCGCGTGGGCTTCCGACAATGGGGTCGCACGCAGACGACGCGGCTCCGGGCGACGCGTCTCACAATCGAGCATGGATCGCCGGATCGCCTCGAGGATCAAGAGCTCTTCCATGCGCGCCAAGGAGGCGGCGTCGCTGCGACTGGCCGCTGGTGCTCGCCGCACGACAGCCACATGCTGACCAAGATCGGACTCGCGGATTTGCGCTGCGACTTCGGCTTGGAGGCGCTGCCGGTCCTCCACCGATGCGAATTGGACTTCAACTTCGTTTGTCGCCGACGCCTCCGAGCTGCTTTGGTCGGTGCAGTCCGAATCGGCGTGCTGCCATTTGGTTCCCTACCCGTCAACCATCACTAGCTGCTTGACGATGTAAAAGGCAGTACTTGCAATCGACCGGACGCGCCAATGGCGAAGTGTGTCTTGAAGTTGTCGTTGTTGCAAAAGGGGCAGCTGTACGTCGTGTCAGCCACGCCATTCTTATTGCCAAGCAGCGGTACCTCACAACCTTGTTGGGCGGCTTGGTCTGCAAGACGCACTCTACGCGGATTTGAGCTACGTCGACCAGTATGCATGAGGGTACCCGAGCATATCGCTTGCTTGCAGCAGGCGCTTTGGTTCAACGTGCTCGGGTAGTGCTATCCATCGTCATGAGCCCAAGGCGCCTCAAATGCAGCATACGAGAAAGCAGATTGGACACTCGTACGAGCCGGATTGGCGCGCGTCGCTGCCTGGGTACCGCGGCGCCAGCTTGCGCTCGAAGATCATCTTGCGCACGACCTTGTGGTCCCATGGGCACGACTTGTAGAGGCTAGCCATGCCATCATCGCATCATGAGCGTAGGATGCTGCGGCCACGTACCCCGTCGGCCGTGTGTAGCGCTCAAGCTCCTTGTTCTGGCGGGTCTTGCCGGCGCTGTTGCCCATGGGTCTCCTCTTGACCGGTCGGTAAAACGAATTCTGAGTGAAGAAGACGGCAAGATACCGCGTTTAAACGTCCTGTCTGGGTGGATTCTATATTTCCAAATTGTAGCCAATCACAGCACTTGGAGGTGTTTGATTGGTCCATTTGACCCTCCGCGATCCGCCCGCGAAGACGACGAGGACGACTTGGCGTACTGTACGAAGCGACACCGCCGCCGTCGATACGCTCGAGCGCAGATCGTTGCCGCTTGTCCTTCGATCGCGTTATAACTCGCATCCTAACACTCGAGCGTGGACGACGTGCACGCAATTGCCCCACACATTTCTCCGTATGGTACTCCTTGAACCCGCCGTCACCTCGACAATGCGTGCGATCTTGCCCGTGACCGTCGCCAGATGCCATGTACTACAAGGAAGAATGCCCAATGCTCTACTTATGTTGCCAACACGCGGTCCTTCAGCGTGTGTGCACATGTCATTATTGTCTGGGAGATGACGAGACATCTGCCGCGTCCTGAACGTTGTTGCCGATCCCGTCGAAGGTGATCGCAGTTTCTCGTGCTGCCTTTCTCGGTGGTATGAGGGATCTATTTTTCCAGCCAATCACAAGATACGCTGGACCGATGGATTCTTAGTCGTAGATCTTAGTGCGACCGACCAGCCTGGATCTCCATATCAATGTACTCGACGTACGGGAGGTCTTTGGGTCGCCAGAGACGGTCCTCGGCAGTCCACGGCTCGCGCCCCGCGATCTTGTCGCCAATGCGATGCTGGACCAAGTAGTCGCTCACGTGCTTGCCCACCATCGACGCACACGCTTCGTTCTGTATGAGCGACTTGCGGACGCGGAACGACGTGGCGCGCTCGAGCTCACACGTCAAGACGCCCATGTCCTCGACAACGATCGCCGTCTTGGTCCACCTAGAAGCATGTCGTACTTTGCTGATGTCACTCCTGGCGTACTTGGCGCCGAGATGCTTCATGAGCATTGCGGTTTGGTTGGGGCGGCACACGGCGATGCAGCCAAAGCCTTCGTCACGGAGTGCCGTGTGGCTTAGCTTGACGATCGTGTTCACGCCGCAGACGTACAAGACGCGAAACTTGTACTCTGGAAACTGGGCTTCGCAGATCTAGAATCCAGAAGTAGCCCAACGTAGAGATCACCAGTACATACCTCGCGCACGTGCGTAAGGGTGCTGAGGTAGTCGAGCACGCGGCGCCGTGTAATCTACGCCCCCGTATTGGCGTCGAGATTGGAAGACGACGACAGGACCTCCCACTTGTCGACTTCGATCCACGACGACGTGGCCGTCGCAGCTTCGAGCATCCCCAACCGGTGGGACTTTGGGATCATTTCGCGCGGCTTGCGACGGTTCTTGGTGCGCACTGCAGTCCGTCTGTATGGGACGTATCGACATTGTTGTCGTGGGTACCGTAGGTGTCGTGGCACGGCGAGATGATGGCGCCGACGACCGGAAACTTGTAGTTGCTCTCAATGTGCTACGGTTCATAGTAGAAACATAGCGTGCAGGTGCCACGTACTTGGCGGGCGACGTAAAACGCGCGCAAGTGGAGCATGTGCACGGGGTTGTACGCGCCGCTGGAGACGAGGACGACGACTTCTTGGTCTTTGGCGATGCCCGCGAGTGCCTGCGCGATCTTGGCCAGTGGGTACGGCACTTCTGATGCGTCGAACGACGGTGGCGCCGCCATCATAAACTGCTAAGCCGAGTTGAGCTCTGAGACAGTAGGATGGTGTGTGGTACTACCTTGGAAGGCGAGCCCGTTTGGAGCAAATGGAGAATGCGTGCTTCAAGCACGACCGGGTCCAGCTCGTGCTCGAGCTCTTGGAGGACTTGGATCACATCGCCAAACTAGTCGAGACAGATAAGTGCGTACAAACGTGTCCTGCCACGTACCTCGGCATCGACCATTTTCTTCAATCGAAAGATCTATATAAGCACTGAGTCGTTTGCCTGTGAGACCATGCACGGACTGTCATACCTGCTCGTCCTTGAGTAGAATGCGCTTGGTGATGGCTTGGATCGTCGCGTAGAGCTGCGCGCGATGTGACGTCACGACGGTCATCGTGCCGTCCTGGTCTGTCATAAACTTGGTCGTGATACCGTCGGGCGCCCGAGAATCCGCAAAAATGTGGTGCGCCGGGTCTATGCCGGGAGCGACAGGATCGGGCGGTGCCGCCTCGGGCTTGGTCTCGACCGGGAAGAGCGGGAAGAGCGCCGGCGCCGTCGTTGTGCGCGATACACTCGCCGCCATTTTCGGCGGCAGGTCCGTGGTCGACTGGCTCGCATGGAGCACGGGCTGCGCCTAAGCAATGCAATCACATTGGCATGTAGTTCTTATAGGTATAAACGCGCACGGAGAGAGGGTTGAGCTGCGGAAGGCTCTTCGCAGGTCCGACTTCCTGGCTCGAGAGGAGTTCTTCGAGTGCCGAGACGCGCTGACGAAGCCCCGCGAGCTCGGCCAATTGGCGCTGGACAGTCCGGGGCGAAAGCAGCACATTGGCATCCGAGATGGGCGGCGCCTCAAAGGACTCGAGCAAGTGCGGTCGCCGCGAGTACGTGGACTCGAGCTTCAGGACGAGGTGCCGCTTCATGCGGGCGACACCGCCACGGGCCGACAACCGAAAATAACTGCTAGCGTTTCATGCTGCAAGCAACGTCATCGCGTCGGCGCGTCTGCCGCCCGTTCATGTCTGCGTTGTGTGAATTCTTCCGCGATGGAGAGTTTCGGGGAACACGAGCGGTACTCACCTAGTCGATCGAGCTCGCATTGACATGCACATTAAACGTTTCGCTCTCTTACATCCTATGCAAGCATTCAACTGTGCACTAGCAGGAACGACCACCGCGGTCAACTTTTATCCAGCGATGCTGCTCAGCGCATTGCGGCATAGTGCATGGATGCGTCGAGGGTCCTATTAGCCGCGCGCAGTGTCACCGGTCATCAAGCAGCTATCGTGTACGATTACCACCACGTCTAATGCGACCGACCACCATTGTTCCCTGTTCAAATCGACTGCCATCATCGACATCACATATCGACCCCGGATGCTGCATTTTGTCGGTTGCCATTCGAGAGTTTGGCATGGTCACAGCTTCTGCATATGCCCAACTTCTTGTCGCTGTACCACACAAGTTGCACAAGTTGACTTCGAGTACTAAACAAACGACCGAGCAATTCCAATGGCACCGACTCTGTCCACAGCTGCTTGATGTTGCGACGCGAAGTGCCTTGCTCGTACGTTTGTAGCCGCAAAAAATAGTTTATGGCCATTTTTCATGGTATCGATCATGATTCATGCACGTCCCGTCATCAGTCTGGCACACATTACGTGTACTGGCACGTTCCACTGAGCTATAGCCACAGTCCAGCGATCGAGCGACTAGTGAGCGTCGGTGTCGTCGACCGAAGATCGCCCGCAGCGTCCCTGCTCCGCGTATAAACTTGATGTACAACACGACGCGCGTGCCGGTATTTGCACTGTCTGAGGCTCGTACTGGAATGCCATCTAAACGAGTCTACATAACACGGACCCGTCCAGAGTGCAGAACCGCTCTCATCGACGAGCTGTCGAGAGGGAGTACAGCCACAGAGCGTCGGCGGCAATGAATGGGGACACCGATCGTCGACACACACGTTCGACACGCGCTTGTCGTGGACAGGATATAGGATCTCGCCGACGGACACACGCGTGAAAAGTCGACTTCACCAGTCGACCACCGAGGCTGCTCGTGCTTCGGCGACCTTCGGTCCAGGCACCTCTGGCGGTGCCAACATGTGTTGTACCAGATGTAGATGGGCGCTCAGAGTGTATGTCGGTGATCCACGCAAGAAGATCTCCACGTCTCCTGCTGCAGTTCATTTTCCGATTTCCATCGCCTCCACCAAGACTAGACCATGAAGTTCTCGACCATCCTCGCCGTTGCCGTCGCGTCGGCCGCTGCCGGCCCGTGCGATATCGCCGTCTTGACGGAGAAGTTTGCGCCCGTGCTCACATCGTCGAGCTACCCGCTCTGCTCGGCCGACACGGGTTACCAGCTCGCTAGCCTCCTCACGGGCCCGCTCCCGACCTCAACGCAGGCGGCGGCGCTCGTCAAGAGCGACAACTGCCAGACGCTCTACACCGGCCCGCTCCAGAAGGTTGCCGGCAGCGTTACCCCGTCGTGCACCCTCGGTGGCGTCGAGCTCAGCGTGATTGCCGTGACGCCCATGGACAAGGCGCTCGCTGCCTTGGCGGCTGCGGCGGCGCCGGCGGCTGCAATCCCGGTCTGTGACCCGGCTGTACTCACGGAGAAGTTTGCCCCGGTCCTCGCGTCGCCCAGCTACCCGCTCTGCTCGACCGACACGGGCTACCAGCTTGCCAGCTTGATCACGGGCCCGCTCCCGACCTCGACGCAGGCGGCGGCTCTTGTCAAGAGCGACAACTGCCAGACGCTTTACACTGGCACGCTCCAGAAGGTCGCTGGCAGCGTCACGCCCACGTGCACGCTCGGTGGTGTCCCGCTCAGCACGCTCGCCACGACGCCCATGGACAAGGCACTTGCTGCTTTGGCGGCTGCCGCGGCGACTCCTGCTGCGGGCAACAACAGCACGTCGACGGCCACTCCCGCCGCTACGACGGCTGCTGCTGCTGGCTCCAAGGCGGCGGCTGCGACGACGGTCCCTGCGGCTACGAAGGCATCTGGTGCGGCTTCGGCTGGTATTGCTATGGCCGCCATCGCCTTGACGGCTGCTGCAGCGCTTCAGTAAGTGCAGCGTCCTTCCCTATATTACGATTCTGAACTCGAAACTTGAGTAAGAATACAACATGATGCTTTTGCTTTTTTCATCGCGTACGCGTGTATCATGGTCGAATTATCGAATACTCACTCGTTGCTGTCGACAGAAGAATGGTAAAATTTGCTGTGGAAGTCGTCGACTTGGGTCTGTAGAGAAGACTCCAGTCTCCCTGGGACCTTTATTAAACGACAGGACCGACCTCCAGTTTGCAACCTACCTGGCCCGACGTTCTTATTGAACTCCCAGTCAGAGAGCTAGGTCAGAGAAGAACCAGCTAGGTCAGAGAGGAGCCAGCAAAGGCCATCATCAACCCATGCCCCAACCTGCGTTCAAGACATGCGTGAGAAGTAGCGAAATTATGGTTCGACTGACACTGTGAGCTTCACGCACGGGCTGTGACTTCGTTTGTCGTTTGGCCCTTCACAGCCCGTGCGTGAAGCTCACAGTGTCAGTCGAACCATAA